TTATCCTGTTGATTTATATGTTTTGATTAGAGGCAATATGGTAAAGGGGTAAATTAACTGAACTGGGAATAAAAGTTCTGCATTTTAATTCAGATCACCTCTATGTGATTACCTGAGTCTCAGTTTCTCCAAAATTCTTTAGAGCTCTAGAATCTTAAATATGATTTTTCAATTCCATAAAACATTTTTCAAAATAAAAATGTATTTTTCAAGGTTTTTATAGTTTTTTAAGCAAATTTATTAATGTACAAGTAACATATAATTTATGTGCACAATTCTGTCAATTTTGATAAATATATGTGCCTTCATAAACACCCAAATCAAGATAAAGAACATCCCCATAAACCTTAGAAGTGCTCTCATGCCCTCTTGAAGTCAACCCCACCTCCCCCATTCCACCTCCCATCCCAGGCAACAACCAATCTGCTTTCCTGCCATTATAGATTAGGATGATCTTTTCTAGAATTTCAAGTAAATTGAATCACACATTATGTACTCTTTTGTACGTAGCTTCTATTTCTCAGCATAATGTTTTTGTGATTCATTCATTCTATTGGAGAGATCAGTAATGTGTTTGTTTTCATTGTACAAACATATCAAGTTATATTTGTTTACGCCAAGAATACAATAGTTTCTCCTATTTTTAAGAAATATTTTTGAATTTAATTATTTAGCATGATTGCATTGTAGTTTTATTTATAGTATGTAAACATTATTTCCAAGAATCCCTGTTGGTTACTAAATTATCTCTTAAGATACAAGTTGAATCTACAGACCTAATTCTGTGAAGATATCATTCCACATCTGAACATAGAACTGCTGTATTGTGGGTGCCAAACTCTATTTAATAAAAGGGGTAAGTGATGTTACGAATATGTGGGAATGTTGGAGTGTGTACTGCAGTTCATTAATCACATCTCCCTTTAGAGTCTCTTTTCCCCTTTCTGCTGGAAATGTTGCTGGTTGAAGGATCAGAGCTGAACATTTCTCTCAGAATTGCTCTTAGAGGAAGGGAATTGTGAACTTCTATAGTACACAGCTATCTGTACATTGAACTCGGAAAGGCCAGTTTATAATCATTAGGCAGCACTCAAGATCTGGATTAGGAAAGACCGGTGAAATCAATTGCCAGTCAGTTATTTCTAAATTTGAGATAACTGAGGTATGATAACTGATTTTAGAGGGATTTTGCCATAATTTTAAATATCTTCAAATTCTGTATACAGTCTACAAGTAACTAGACAAGTGTAAGATTTATTAGAACTTCTACCTTATCACATTGAGAAATTCCTCCAGTCAACTTTAAAAAGGCAATTGTCTCTGTCTTTCTCTGCTCTTTTAATTTTGATTCGCTTAGCTATTTCTCCACACTCTCACATTGTATTAGGTTATTGGACTTACACTACTTCTTTCCATTTGCCTGCATTTGCTTTCTCTGTTTTATCTTTCTCACTGCCTTTATGATGCTTTCTGTTCTTCCCATTCTTCTATAGTCCATTCTGCTCTATGTGTCATTTGCATTCCTAAATATCATGAGCCATGCAATATTGTGCAATAAAAAATACAGGGCTTAAGGGGGTAATGAAGTTTATGGCACAACCCTAAAAACTTTATCAGTGTCACATTAAAATAAAGGTAAAAAAGCTAATAAAAATGGTAGCACAGTTTTACACCTGTTAAATAGAAATTGCACAAATACGGTCATAAGTTTTTTCTTTTTTCCCCCTGAGAAAAAGCCGAAGTTTGCTTGTGGAAGTGTTGGAAGACTTAACGGCTTTCATTTCTTGTGAAGTTGTAGAAGGAAGTGTATCTAAAATCAGACAGAAAGTTGTAACACAGGTGTTGATGGGCAAATTTCTAACATACATGGGACACTGAGGTCAGTTTTAGATATTTGAAGAATGAGCATGTGTGCGTTTTATGTGTTCCTATGTGGCTTGTTTCAGCCAGGTGTGGTTTTCTGTATTTCGCCAGTGCTTCTCAGGAACAAAATTGCATGTTAAAAAACACAAAAAATTTACATTACATTGAAATTGTTTTCTAATATATCTATCATGTTGAAAGAAATTCATGTTTTTTGTTTTTGTTTTTGTTTTTTTTTTGAGATGGAGTCTCCCTCTGTCGCCCAGGCTGGAGTGCAGTGGCGCGATTTCGGCTCACTGCAAGCTCCGCCTCCCGGGTTTACGCCATTCTCCTGCCTCGGCCTCCCAAGTAGCTGGGACTACAGGCGCCCGCCATCACGCCCGGTTTATTTTTTTTCTATTTTTAGTAGAGACGGGGTTTCACCGTGTTAGCCAGGATGGTCTTGATCTCCTGACCTCGTGATCCACTCACCTCGGCCTCCCAAAGTGCTGGGATTACAGGTGTGAGCCACCGCGCCCGGCCCAGAAATTCATGTTTTTAAACAAGTGCTTAAAAAGTGAGCAGAAATAAGTGTACTTTCTGTATTTTCTCTCTATACTTTGTTTCTACTTTTTTTTTTTCTCTTAGTTATTTCTCCCAAATTGCTGCATTGTCCTCACTACAAAACTTCTCCAATGTAGCTAGGCTGAGGAGCATACTTTTATTTATTATTATTATTATTTTATTTTTATATTATTTATTTATTTATTTATTTTTTGGACAGAGCCTCACTCTTTCACCTAGGCTGGAGCACCCTAATGCAATCATGGCTCACTACAACTTGGACCTTGCTCAAGTAATCTGCCCACCTCTGTCTCTCTAGTTGCTAGGATTATGGGTACATGCCACAACACCTGGGTAATTTTTCTATTGTTTAGAGATGGAGTCTCCCCATGTTGCCCAGGCAGGTGTCAAACTCCAGACATCAAGTGATCCTCCTGCCTCGGCCTCCCAAACTACTGGGATTACAAGAGGGAGCCACCGCATACAGCCCATACTTTCTTTTCTTTTCGTATGTATGTATGTATGTATGTATGTATGTATGTATGTATGTATTTAAAGGCTGTAAGGCTCTGTTGCCCATGCTGGAGTGCTGTGGCATGATCATGGTTCACTACAGCCTCAAAGTCCTGGGCTCAAGCCATCCTTATGCCTCAGCCTCTTGAGCAGCTAGGACAACAGGTGCATGCCACCACACCCTCATTTTTTTTTTTTTTTAATTTTTTTCTAGAGATGAGGTCTTGCTATGCCACCCAGGCTGGTCTCAAATTCATCACCTCAAGCGGTCTCCTGCCTCAACCTCCCAAAGCACTGAGATTACAAGAGTGAACCACAACACCCGGCCTCTTAATTTTTAATCGACAAATAATAAATGTACATATTCGTGGGATACAATGTAAAATTTTGATATATGTATACAATGTGGAATGATTCAATCAATTTAATTAACATATCTGTCACTCGCTTACTTACCATTTTTGTGGTGAGAGCACTTAAAATCTACTCTTCTAGCAATGCATTATTATTAACTATAGTCATCATGCTGTGTCATAGAACATTATTCTTACTGTACAATTGAATCATTTTACTCTTTGACTAACATCTCCCATTAACTCATCACAGCCATCCTCTTTTTCCAGCCTCTGGCAACCACCATTCTACTAACAACTTCTATGCGTTTGACTTTTTTAGATTCTACAGATAAGCGAGGTGAAGAAGAATTTGTCTTTCTGTGCCCGGCTGATTTTACTTAGAATAATGTCCTCCAGGTTCATCCATGTTGTCACAAATGACAGAATTTCCTTCTTTTTAGAATCTGAATAGTATTTCATTGTGTATGTATACCACACTCACTTTTATCCATTCATCCAGTGATAGACACCTAGGTTGATACCGTTTATTGGCTATTGTAAATAATTCTGCATTGAACATGGGAGTGCAGATATCTCTCCCACACACTGATTTCAATTCCTTTGGTTATATACCCAGAAGTGAGATTTCTGGATTCTATGATAATTTTGAATTTTTGAGGAACTCTCATACTTTTTCCATAGTGGCTATACTAATTTACATTTTTACTAGTAGTGTACAAGGGTTCCATTTTCCCACATTCTTATTCTCTCACCAACACTTATTGGCTTTTTGCTAATAGCCATTCTAACAGGTATGAAGTGATATCTCATTGTGGTTTTAATTTGCATTTCCCTGATGCATTGTTGGTATTGAGCATTTTTTCATATATCTGGTGGCCATTTGTATGTCTTCTTTTTTTGAGAAATGTTTATTCAGGTCTCTTCCCTGTTTCTTAATCTGAGGATTTCTTTTCTTTCTATTGAGGTGTTTGAGTTGTTTATATATTTTGGACTTGAGCTGTAGGGCATACTTCTGAAGATACACTTTTAAAAAACCCTGGTTTCTATGCAGTCCTTTCGGAAAGAAGAAAAATCATCTCTCAAAATATTTAACCCCTTTTAGCCTCCTTCCTGTGGGTTGTGTGCACGCATGATTTTATGTTAATAGTAATATAGAAATCAAAACTTTTCTATGCTGTATGTTTGTTCCAGCTAGGTCAGATTCACAGCAGGAATAATTTTTAATAAAAAATATTTGGTAAGTTCTTTTCCTGGGCATCATTGAAAATAAAACTTAAAAATTTACAAAGGATCTTGAACAAAGATTTTTAAATTGCACACTTTATAGGTCCTTACCTATTAATTAAAAATAATGTGTGGTGTTATATCAATATAGTATTGTAAATTAATAATAAACTATATATCTAATTGATAAAATAGTAGCTAGTACTTAATGTTTAGGATACCTCAGTGTTTTATGCTATGTTTTACATATAGAGAGAACATAGCATATTTTCCATTTCAAATATATCTATTAAACTGGTTGAAAATTACTGATCTACCTTCATATTTTAATGTCAATTAACAGTTTCCTCAGAAACTTAGTTTTTTGGCAAAGCTAGTTCTTTTCAGAATTTCTTATTTCTCAGTGTGAAAGCAGTGTCAGTTTAATTTCTTTAAGTTTATTTTAAATTTTAAATGAAAGATGAAAATTCTTAAGTGCCATTTCTTTTTCTATTCCTGCAGCGTTTGTCCAATGGTTCTATAGACTCAACCGATGAAACTAGTCAAATAGTTGAACTACAAGAATTGCTTGAAAAGCAAAACTATGAAATGGCCCAGATGAAAGAACGTTTAGCAGCCCTTTCTTCCCGAGTGGGAGAGGTGGAACAGGAAGCAGAGACAGCAAGAAAGGATCTCATTAAAACAGAAGAAATGAACACCAAGTATCAAAGGGACATTAGGGAGGTAAGTGATTCATCTTACTTTCAGTCTTTGATTTCTGAATGCTGCTTCTGAGATACTGTTTCCATAATTTCCCTTAATGACCATACACTTTTTACTTCCCAAAAGACCATACTTTGGCATGCATTATATTAGCTATGAAACTTGTTCAATAGGGCAAACAGTTTACTTCATGAGTGCTTTAAATATATATGGAAAGAAATATGTGCTATCAAGGGTCAGATATAACAAAGACATTCTGAAGCTATTAATACATTTTTTTAAACATAAGCTTTTAATTTTAAATAACCCTAAATATGTGTATGAATCATGAATTGCTATACTCATACTCTCAGCATATAGAAATACTACAAAAATACTTCAAATTGTTCCATTGCTTGTTTTTGTTTTGTGTCATGAAGGTGAATGTATCTCTGTTAATATGCATATACACGCATATGTATAACATAACCTTTCTTTGTCTTTATATTAAATTCCTGTTAGACATAACATCCCTTTTTCTACTTAAAACAAAAATGAGTACTTTAGTCACTTCTCAGCCTCTTGGCTAATATCAAATGAAAAAAGAGAGTATTTTAAGTTACTACAAAAGATACTAGGAGATGTTTGATTTGTAACACTGTCAAATCGTTTTACCTGCTAAGGTGAAAGTTTAGAATCTTTTCACTTTTTCACCTTTTCACTCACAACTAAAAAGAAAATTATATTTGTGGAAATTGAGTTTTCTGACTTTTTGCCTTTTCTATTTTTACATATTTTAAATGTATTTGTATCTTTTAAAAATATTTTTTGTATCTAATTAGCTAGTTGTTCATCAAGTTGGTCCTATTCTATGTACCGAATTCTTTTCTTACCATCCTCTTATAAGCCAATTTTATCTTACTTTTTCCCTGACTGTCCCACCAAAACTCTTCTCATAAAAGTCATTATTGACCTCCATGTTACTGAATCCGGGGTTCAATTCTCAGTCCTCTTAAGCACTTGATCCATTTTCCAGAGGACTTCTTCACTGGGCTAATAGCACATTCTCCTCCCCTGGTTTTCATCCGTATTTACTTGCTTACCTCATCACAGGCTCTTTTACTACTTCTGTTTCTCCTCCCCTACCTTGGAGTGTCTTCCCTTCTCCACCTACTTTTATTTCCCTGGTAAATTTCTGCAGTCTCATGGCTCCAAAAGCCACCATCATCTTAGGACTCCCAGTTAATATCTCCAGCTTGTTCTTCTTTCCTAATTTCCCGATGTTTCTCTCTCAATCACTAAGGGATATCTCAAAATTAGCATTTTCAAACTCTTTTCTTGATATTTTCTCAACAAACCAGACCCTCCTGCAGTCTTCCATATCCATTATTATTGTTGCTTAGGCCAAAAGTCTTGGAGCTGTCCTTAAGATCTCTCCCCTCACACACTTGGTTTGATTCAGCAATAAATCCTGTTATCTACAATTTCAAAATATTCATAATGGGACCTCTTCTCAGAATCTTCGTGGCTTTTTCTTTTTCTACACAATCACTTTATCTCACTGGATTATTTCAATAGTTGTCTGTTCCCTGGTGTTCTTGCTCATACCTTCAGCTCACCTCAGTCTGTGCTCAACACAGCAGCTTGAGCTGCCTGCCTGTAAGTCAGTTCATGTCATTTTTCTGCTTAAAACATTTTAATGACTACCTATTCTACTTACAGTATTATCAAAGCCCTTACAGTGGTCTACAAGCCATATACAATCTCTCTACTACCACCTTCCTGACCTCTTCGAGATCATCTACTGTCTCATCCGACCATGCTCTGCTCAACTGGAGTGACCTCTTAAGCAAGCCAGACCTGTTTTGTTACATTTTCTTTACTCTCTGCCTTTTGTTCAATGTTGTTTTCTCAGTGAAATGTCCCCTGACCTTTCTATTTACACATATACACTCTCCTTCTTTTGTTCGCTTATCCCACAGGACATTCTATCACCTGACACAATGTTTATTTATTTTACTGATATAGTTGGTTATCATATGCCTCCCTCCCCAACTATTCCTAAACATCTATAAGGGCTAAGATTTTTTTTTCTTGTTTTGTTCACTGCTGTCTTCAGAGTACCTACGCAGCTATTGATTGTATAACAGGCACTCAAAAAATCTTTGCTGAAAGAATAGATATTTGTAAGTAAATATCAGAAGGTGTGAATGATATCAGAATATGTACTAAGATGATGGCTACTAGCAAAACAAAACAAAGAGAGATAGATGAAGCATGAAGTGGTAGACTGCTCCACTGCAACACAGATAATGATACAACTTTTTATGAATTAATAGTTCATGGCTGCATCTCTCCTCTTTATCCTCCCCACAATTCCAACTCAGAGAGTTCTTAAAGACAGTTTAACCTCTCTTCTGTATCACTAATAAGGAATTACTTGAATTTTGGCTATCAAATCATCGGGCTCACTTCTTTTTTTTTTTTTTTGAGACGGAGTCTCGCTCTGTCGCCCAGGCTGCAGTGCAGTGGCGCGATCTCGGCTCACTGCAAGCTCCGCCTCCCGGGTTCCCGCCATTCTCCTGCCTCAGCCTCCCCGGGCTCACTTCTTGATCTGTTGTTCATTCTCTCTGTCTTCATTCTCTTGGTTCTGGAGATTTAGATGATTTCCTTTCATTTTAGTACTCATTGCTCTGTTAATGCTCATCTAATCCAGCATCACTTACAGGTAAGGTCCAACATCCAATTCCCATTTTCTTACTGCCCATTTAAAAATAACTCCTTGATACTAATAGTCTCGGAATGTAGGTGACAAAACGCCCAGTCAGATGGAAAATGCACGCCTCTGATGCCAGGTGTTCTTGATTAAGAATCTATTCTCATGGACAAAACGTTCTCCTTTCGTGTGGAATTATTTTAAAATACAACTACTCTTATCAGCCCCATCGTGTCTATGTTTATATTTTGGAAGAGTTTCCGGAGAAAGGAATCTCTCTCATCACCCACCTTTGAAAGGAGATTGCAAACACAAATATTTTCAGAGCCAGGCTGGCAATGGAAAAGTGGAAAGTGCCAGGTGCAAGACAGTAGGAAGTGATGGCATTGATGAGACCTGTGAAAGGGCCTATACTCAGCCTGCATTACTGGATGTATCACTTTTTTTTTGTATGCACACACACACACGCACACACACACACAGTGCACTGTGAAGGCTAAATAAACTAATTCTGAAATATTCAGGTCTCAAGACCGAAGCCTGTGGCTTATGAAGGATTTTTTAAGGACCAGTCACATGTGAAAACTATTACAGTTATGTTACATGGAAATTCTCAAATTCCTCACAACTGGCAAAAAGGGGAAATGCTAATTATTATCTCCATTTTTCTCAGATGAGAACCATAAGGTTCAGTGAGGTAAAGTAACTTGCCAAAGGTCTATGCAGTTCTCTCCCCAGCAGCACAGAGGAGAAACAAGATCAGCATGGCTTCAAAACCTGTGCTTCTTCCACTATGAACTACTTCCAAAATCAACACAGCATAATAATTAATTCAGTGATAGCAATTATCATAAAATGCAGCTACAATATAACTGTCCTCTAAATAATCAATATTTGGATCTTTTTTTTTCAATAAGCAAGAAGATGTGAAATCACATACTTAAAAAAAAACAGATTACTTACGACTTAAAGCTTTTATTTTCTTGAATAATATTTTTCTGGGTTATGGTCACAGAGAGTCAACTGGATTGCAAGTTTCTTTTTCTCTTCTTAATTATTCTCTTAAAATATTATTTATTTTTTTAGAGACAGAGTCTTGCTCTGTTGTCCAGGCTGAAGTGCAGTAGTGTTTTCAGCTCACTACAACCTCGAACTCCTATGCTCAAGCAATCCTCTCACCTCAGCCTTTGGAGTAGCTAAGACTACCGGGCACGTGTCATGATGTCCGGAAAATTTTTGTATTTTTTGTAGAGACAGGGTCCTACTATGTTGCTCAGGCTGGTCTCAAATTCCTGTTTCAAGCGATCCTCCCGCCTCATCCTCCCAGTGGACTATGATTATGGGTGTAAGCCATGGATTGCAAGTTTCTTAATAGAAAAAAATAAGCTCCCTTTTCTTGATACTCCTATAGCATTTCTAGCATAGTATGATTTATAAATTGTACAGGTAATAAATGTTTGTTGTAATAATTGAGGAAAAATTAGGAAATAAGAAAAAACAACCACATAATAAAAAATGGAAAGGTAATTTGCTTTGCATGTGAGGACATTCTATGGTATCTAAAAATGAACTATTATTTTGAATAGCAAAAACTACATTTACTTTTGCACCAATCTAATTTATAAATATGTTCCACTGATCGCTTCAGAATATATTTTTGTAATTTTTCTTTGTCAAAAAAGAAACCTATCCAAAATTTACTTTCGTTTTACATTTTGTCTTCAAACAAAACTCCTTAAATTGATTTTGACCTATGAAGAATAGGTGAGTTGGATTAAAGCTAGACACAACACTCAAATTAGAAAAATAGACGATCTTATAAAAGTGGCTTATCTCTCCAGTTTTTAATCAAGAGGATCATTAATTGTGTATGGATAATAATATATCACATGCATAGCTGTGCAAATAGCTAAAATTTTCAGTGGAGTATTTTAATTACATTTTGTTTTGTGAATAAAACCATCTTGTATTTCCAACTTCCTATTAACAGTTCTTCAGAATTTCACTATGTGATTAAATGAATTAAATACATATCAGTGTTGCCTTTTCTATTATCTGAAACATGTAGTTATATTTTTCACTTTAATAGATCTAAATTACCAGAGAGTTATATTTATTAGATATGAAAAATATGAAATTTATACATAAACTTCAGGTCAAGAGATAATTGCATCTTTATTTTTTCTCATTTTTTGTAGGTAGCAAGTTTTAGGGACTAGAAAAAGCTCCCTTTTTTAGAATTTTTCAAATGACAGAGGGATAAGCTATTTCTCTGACTTGTAAATCCAGTTTATTTTTGGCAACACAGCCTGCAGTTAAAAATTGAATCTCCCACATGAATCACTGAATCAAAAAATGCAGTACCAAAATTACAAAATGCAAAAATTCCTGCATGTAATGTATGTCATAGAGTGAGATCATCTAATTGTGTACACAAAAGTAATTAATAATAAAAAAAGACTATTATTTATCGAGGGTGTTTTCTACATGAGACACCATACAAAGCACTTCCTGAGTCCTAACAGCAATACTATGTGCTACATATTAGAATCTCAACTCACATAACATATGAAGAAGGTGAAGCACAGAAAAGGTGAGCAACATTGACCCTTATAACAGAGTTAGTAAGTGTCCCGAACCAGCATTTGGAGCAAGTATGTACTACTTCAATGCTCATGTTCTTGAGAAATGTGTGTATGTCTTTTGTTGATTTTATTGCTGTTAAAATGTAGTAAGAAGTTTATTTATACAGGTTAGCTTTAGACTTTTCTCTTCAGGCCACGAAATTTTCCCAGAGTTCTGTTTGCAAGTGAAATGGACAGAATACAATATTAAGCATTCTGAAAGGATCCTCTAAGACAAAATCTCTACCATCACTGAGATAAAAAATATATAAAGTAGAAAAAGTCAAAAGTGAAAATAAGAAGTGTTTTAAATAATAGACATTATTTGGGATGCCTAAAATCTAGGGGTATGTATATAATATTTCTTAAAAATTAGTCTGGCTAATTTTTGCTGAATTCATAGATTAAATTTAATTTTTTATGTTTGCACTTTAATGTCAACATAATTAACCCAAGTAGCTTTTGACTGGGTCTTGATGGTCAGTATGATTGAGCTAGACAAAGACGACAAAACACATTCCAGGTAGACATGAAGTCACAGAGTGCATTAGTTTTGTAGGGCTGCCATAACAAATCACCACAAACTGGATGGCTTAAAACAACCATAATTTAGTCACTCACTGTTTTAGAGGCTTTAAGTCTGAAATCAATGTTTCAGCAGGACCATATTCTCTCTGAAGGCTCTAGTGAGATTCTTCTTCACCCCTTCTAGCTTCTAATGGTTACTGGCAATCATTGGCATTCTTGACTGGTAGCAGTATAACTCTGTATAACTCCATTCTCTGACTGCCTTCCTCCTTCTTCCCCGTATTTCTCTGTCCCTAAATCCCCTCCTTATAAAAACACCAGTCATTGGATTTAGGGCCTATCCTAATCCTGTGTGACCTCATCTTTACTTGATTATGTCAACAAAATCTTATTTGCACATAAGATCACATTCACAAGTTCAGAGTGGACACAAATTTTGGGGGGATGTTATTAGCCCCAGTACACAGAAGTAAGGAAGTATCAGGTTACAAAACCACTTTTTTTTTTCTAGGCTTTGTAGCTCAGATTTTACCCTGAAGATGGAGGGGAAGAAATACAAGTACTGAAACCAAGAAGCAATATGATCAGAGTAGCATTTAGAAATATCTCTTGTGCAGCAGGGTGGAGGAAAAGTAAGGAGAATAAAAGACAAAAAATACAAGAGAGAGAGCTAACTTGCAGGTGAGCAGGAGACTAGGGGCAACATGATGAGTTTCATGGTGGATCTGGATCTATTACTTTTTTTTTTTTTTTTTTTTTTTTTTGGGATGGAGTCTTGCCCTTCGCCCAGGCTGGAGTGCAGTAGTGCGATCTTGGCTCACTGCAACCTCTGCCTCCCAGGTTCAAGCGATTCTCAGGCCTTAGCCTCTCCAAATAGCTGGGATTACACACACGTGTCATGACGCCCAGCTAAGTTTTTTGTATTTTTAGTAGAGACGGAGTTTCACTATACTGATCAGGCAGGCTAGTCTTGAACTCCTGACCTCAAGTGATCTGCCTACCTTGGCCTCTCAAAATTCTGGGATTACAGGTGTGAGCCATCACCTCTGGCTGATCTATTACTTTTTAATTAATTTTAATTTTTTATGTATACAAAAATTTTCAAAGTCAAATAACTGCATGTATAAAAATGGTACATATATAAACACACACAGCATCTCACTTCAAGTTTTCATCCCATTTCCCTGAAATTCTTAATGTCAGCCCTTTTATCCACTACTTCTGGTATTTTCTCTCTTTATTATTTAAACAAAATTTATGTCTTGCTATTATATTAGATTAGGACATTACCTATTTTATTCCTTATTTTACTTTTTATTCTGCCTATCCTTTCATTAGAGTTATCATCTGAAAAAAAAAAAAAAAGAAAGAAAGAAAATTGGAAGAAAGGCTGTCTGCTTATCTGATTATTATAGGTGATGGGACTGGCTCTGGACCCTGTAGGAGAGTGGCAAAGGCACTGATTAGGAATAAGTGATGAAATGATTCTGGATAATAAGATATGGAAACTATCGCCATTTCCTCAATTCCAGGATTCTTATACAAAGAAGCTTCCCACGTTCTCAGGAAACCATTCTAGGCCAATGAGCCTCACTTCTGCACTTGATTTTCCCCCAACATCTTATCAATAAAGTAGGTTATCTAACTACCAATAAATTTCCACGTAAGCTGTGAGTAAGGTAAAATTATCTCCATATTACTACCTATAAATTTTATTATTTAAAAATTACTGTTTAAAATATTATCAATGCCATGATTTTCTCCACTTGAACTTGATTTTTTCATATATTTATGCGTTCATGGACTTCTTTAAACTCTTATGTAATTGAAACATATATAACTAGGTAAATGGTTAAGAGTCTAAGTCAGTTGGTAAACTTGTAAATAAGATCCATATGTACTATTTTTTTTTTTTTGTGGCCTGCTGTTTTAACCACAGAGTTCCTCTTTCTTAACATAAAGGTAAGAATACGGATGGTATTTGTTATCTATTTGAAGATTGCTTTACAATTTAGAACTGTAGTCGCCAGTTTAACAATTTTATGATTTGCAACTCTACTCATAATTGTAATTAATTTTACTGTATAATGAACTAATTTATCTGCCACTTCTCTTACAAGAGTGCCAATTCTACAGTAGACAGTTTCAAAAGCTGCTCCGTTGTATTCTTAGACAGCAAAACGCTTTTGGTTAACCAAGATACAAAAATAATTCTGACAACTAAGTTGGGTAAAGTCACCTGAAATCTTGCATTCCTTCAATGAAAAGAAAGGAATGAGTATTTATTTCAAGAATGCAATAGTTTTTATGTTTCTTTTTTATTTAACAAGACAATAATTAAACAATCTGAGAATCTGACTTGCTTTTTTAAAATTATTTTAATTGTAGGCCATGGCACAAAAGGAAGATATGGAAGAAAGAATTACAACTCTTGAAAAGCGTTACCTCAGTGCTCAGAGAGAATCTACCTCCATACATGACATGAATGATAAACTAGAAAATGAGTTAGCAAATAAAGAAGCTATCCTACGGCAGGTTCAGTATCTCTGTCTTGGTTTTTTTCTGGTCCGTGCGTTCTCATCATTCTCGCAAAACAGGAAGTAAATAAAATAGGGTACTTCTTGACAGATGTTTGAGTCATCATTCTCTAAAATTTAAAATTCTCTGGCAAAACAAATATTATTTTCAGTGTGAAATTTCCTTTCTAGAAAGATAAATTATTTATCTTAATAATAATACAAGTAATGACTATGACTTACTTTTCATATAGGCATGAGCCAGAAATTGTGCTAAACAGTTTTCTTGTATTACCTCACTTAATTCTAACCACCACCTATGAAGTAGGCAGAGTTATTATACTGAAGATACTACAGTTCAGAGACAGTCACACTTTCCCAAGATCATACATCTACTAAACACCAGAGCCAATAATGGAATCCTAAGTTTATTGGGCTCTAGAGCAGAAACAGGCAAACTATAGCTGTGGGCCAAAGCTGGTTGGTTGCCTTCTCTTGTTAATAAAGTCTTATTGGAACACAGCCATGCCCAATCATTTAATCATTATCTATGACTGTTTTTGTGCTACAATACAGTTGAGTGTTTGGGATTGAGGCCATATGGTACATGAGGCCTAAAATTTTTACTATCTGACCTGTTACTGAAACTGTTTGCCAATCTTATCTCCAGAGCCTGGATCATCATGCTACAGTACCTCTCCCACTCCAGTCTAAATACTATGATTTTCAATATTTTGCTATGATAGTATATCTGATGTCTTAGTACTGAGCTATATTCCCTTTGTTAAAATTTATACTCATGAGTAATTTCTTTCCTTTTTGCTGCCAGTGGTAAGAACTTTTTCATTGTTTTAATGTGCTTAAATTTATGAAGGAAATGGATAAGCAATATATGAAAACAAGACAGCAATCAACACTTTGCACATTTAGGTGTGGTAGTGGCTGATTTTAAATCTAAAATCATGGCTGAAGTGCAAAGCCCCCGGCGACTGGTGTTTGCTATCCAAACTCTGACTCTTTAAGTGTCTCTGCTCCCATTCCCATTTCAGATGGAAGAGAAAAACAGACAGTTACAAGAACGTCTTGAGCTAGCTGAACAAAAGTTGCAGCAGACCATGAGGAAGGCTGAAACCTTGCCTGAAGTGGAGGCTGAACTGGCTCAGAGAATTGCAGCCCTAACCAAGGTACTGCACTAGAACAATTGGTGAGCCTAGATATATTTGTAGAAAGGATTAGCAATCAAAATGAAATGTATAAAGATTTTCTATAGGCTTTATGAAAATTAAGTTTATTTAATCTTTATTATATTTGTCTGTTATTAAGTCAGTTTTTTCTTGTCATACATATTTATGCCAGCAGGAATAATTGTTATACAAATGTGATGATCCCCCTGCCTATTTAAACATTAACAAAACAAGTAAAATTTCATGTCATTGTTATAGTTACTTTTCCATGGTAATATTTGTATAAGAATAATCCTGGAGACAAAAATGATAATGTTATCTATATGAGACATAACAATTTAACAGGCTTCACATCAATTGCTATTAGAAGTATACAAAATATCATAACTTTTTGATTCCTCCCCAACTACAGTACAAAACTTGTTAGAAGTGGGAAGTTAGACTTATAAAAGTCTGAGGTCTAAACAATTAAATAGTCAGAAAGCGGTTTTACAGTTGTAATTTCCTCTGAAAATTAAAATCAATAATACTCTGAAGAATGTTCAAAATTTTCTGTATAATATGGCTGGTAGATTCTGCAACTATCTGAATATTTTGGAATTTTACAAGCATTATAATATTAAAAAGGACTATTCTGACCTCTGATAATCAAATGGAAATAGTATCATTTCAAAGTGTGTATACATGTCACAAATTATATAAAAGCGCATTTTGTCACTAAAAGCATGTTTGACATTTGATATGAATTCAAAAATAATCACACCATTTATATTTTTACACAATCATTAATATTTGCTAAGTTTTCAAGGCCACTACAGTAAATGAGTATGATAGGTATTTGGACTTCAAGTTTAAAATTATGGGATGAGGATTTACCCAAAATAATTGATGCAGCAATGAAGTAGACATACACGCATGATTTTCTAAAAAAACAATTAATTAAAAATGAACAGTGGAGTGATCTTCCTGTTGGTTAAAATAGGACAGTTAACCAGGTAATGAAAGGCAAACCTTTGACGAAGTAAAGCAGGATTAGAGAGCGTTGAAACAGTTGCTCGTTTGCAGAGTGTTGGAGTAACTAGTTTGCTCAAACTGATTGAGGTGGGATTATAATTTGGATCATTCTGTAGTCACAAACCATGCCAGTAAACTACTGTGGCAATTTCAGGAATGTGTGATTTCTAAGATAAACATAAATTTATCATTTAATTTGAAAAAAATATTTAAATATGTTGGTATTATTTCATTTTTTCCTGCAAACACAGATCTTAAATGACTATAACATAGACTAAGATATGCATAATTAGCCCTTTCATCTAAAGAACATAAAGGACTTTCAAAAAGAGTTATCTTTTTCAATTACACTGTTTTGGGGGGTTAGATGACTGACTGAATATGAAAAATAACTTTTGTAAAGTTGTAGCTTAAAATAATGATCAATATTATCCTGACTAAAACACAAGAAAGTCTGCAATTTCCCCCCCATTTACAATTCAGAAAATCACTGCCCCACATTAACCTTTGATAAACTAAGAATACAAACAATTTAAAATATAGTATTTGACATAAAAATACTATATTAAATATTACCAAGAATTATTGATTTAGAATATGTAAAAATAACTGGAATTAGGTGCCTTATATTATTGGCTTTTATCTTGTCTATTCTGTTAAATTCATTCATATATATATATATATAATATTACCTTGGGCACAAAAAATAGCTCCCCTCAGCTTTCTCCTCCCTAATATACTACCAAAATTCCACTGTCTCTGAACCTCTTTGATTTCATTTTTCAGAAAATTGGAATTCTTCCAAAAAGTCTTCAAACACTCTAATTCACTCTCCTTTTTATCACTTTCTTTTCTGACTAGTGCTATGTCAACAACATATTTCAAATATACATTTTTTATATTATTACCGTATTTTATTCATTATGAAAGCTCCTTAAGTACTGAGATTTTATCCTGAACACATTCCTTTTGCCTGTATTTTTTTTTAACATTTGAGGATCACCCTTTCATTTCTTCTACCAAGTTTTTTGGTTTCAGCAGCCTTGTACTTTTTCTTGTACTCTGTTCTCAAGACCTTTAGGGTCTATCTTTATACCTGTTGTTTTTTCTGTTTCAATTTGTTTCAGATATTTCCCTCTTATGGATCATCACAGTCGTCTTCTTTTGTTAACCTTTTGACTGCTCACTAAAGTAAAAATATTTCTTCTTAGCTTAAACATGGGTTCCTCCTCCTATATTTTGAATGATATTCTTAATAACCCCTCAGACATTTTATTTCACCAATATACTTTTTTTCTACTTTACTATCACTTTTCTTCTTTTTTCTAGGTCTTTCTCTTTAAATTTAATTTCTTCTCCCTTTCTGAGTTTGTTCATGTTCTTCTCAAAACCATTTCTGCCTGTAGTTCATCCTGAAACTTTAGTATGTTTTAAATTTTCCTATATCATATTAAGGAGTGAAACCAAGATAAACAGTTTTTCACCAAGGAGTATAAAAAATAGCAGACTGTTTCTGTGTGATCTTCGTATTTACAACAATTACTGAAACTGTAGTTTTCACATAGACTGAATATCAGCACTGTTGGTTGAAAATTGATCCCAGTATATATTATTTAGAAGGGATGTCTGAATGCATTCTTTAATTGATAAACTATTTTTCTCCTTCTGATGTATGTGTGTGTTTGCGCGTGCACGTGTGTATAAGCGAAGCTTATTTATGGCTTTAGAAAGTCAGAATTATTGATTAATGGCTATGGATACAACTAAAACTTTTGCTTTGGTGAGTTTATACACAATAAACCAATAAAGATTACTTTTGGCTCCCAGTCTTATGATTTATTATATCTACTTTTTAATTAAAATGCATATTCCTTTAGCAAGGACATAATTCATTTTGAATGAGGTATTTTATTTATTTCTAGTACCAATAAAATGTGTCAGCAGTAACAGTAATTTAAACAGGACCAAATTCTTATTTTATCTCTGAAGTGAATTTTCAAAATTTTGGTGTTTTGTGTGTGTGTTTTTTAAAAGTTTTATGTGTTTTTAATAAGTAAACAGAAAGAACTAGAAGTTTTAAAGACCTCTAAAAACTTGTATTTTTGAAGACACAGTTTTGGCAGTTGAAATATTCATGTCTCAGGTGTCTTGAGTCAGTCATCTAATTAATTTAAACACCAATAACTGCATGTTAAAATGTAATTTTGAAAGATCACAGATACCTTTATGAATTTAGATTATATAATTTCAACAACATTTTTATCCACTTACTGTATTCTTAATATAACTCTAAATTTTAAATAATATTATAAAAAAGTTATGGCATTTGGGGACCAAGGTAACTCTGTGTAGCTTCTAAATTGGAAATTTGAGGATGACCTGGAAGAAATAAATTGGTTATTTGTTATGTCTTTATTATCTTCCACATTTATAAAATAAGAATATCGGAAGGAAAACCTTACAAAATGTAAATGTTGAATCATAGTTTGCATAAGCACACCAGAATTGAAATGTTAAATGTTTGCTTTCATAGGTTAAATTTGAATTTATTGCATAAAATAGTACATATGCATCTGAATCAAATGAATAGGTTACTATTTCTTTTCAGTTACTGCATGACATATTTATATATAGTTCTATATTGGCATAAAGTGAGTTTCACTGTTTTAGAATGAACTTATAAAATGTGATAGAATATGCTCTGGAGTTAAATTTTGTGGTCCTGACATAGAGTCCTTTAGATGTAATAATTATTTAACTTGCAATGATTAAAATGTTGATGTAACTTCATATGTAATCCTTGCATAACATACTAACAATTTTACTATCAACAATGTCACATGTGTTGAACACTCTGCACCTGTGGTAACCTGACAGTCACTTCCAAGACATGTATCTAACCTTGACACTGGGCAAACACGAGCTTACAAGGAAACTGTGCCGCCTATTCACTTTAGGCACTATTTTGTTTCCACAGCAACAAATCAGTGGAGAAACAGTTTGGAATTGGCCCCTAGTGTCATCTAGGAGAGTCACAAACAAGATTTCTTGTTCTCACAGCATTATTGTCACTGGATAATTCAAAGACTTTCAATCATTTTCATTTAAAATTTCTAATTAAACCTATCTGAAAGTAGGCCATTAAATTCTAGATCAATATCTGAGAGTAGACCATTAGACCAATATCTGAAATCAAGTATCTGAGAGTAGGCCATTAGATTCTAGACCAATGACCATAGTGTGCATTCAGAGACCAGAAATCATTTCATAAGTTTTCGTGTTGCTGAGGAAGCTCAATCTTGCTTGAACTGGGGACTACTCACAATAACCCCCGGGTTAGTTTTTTATCTTATTTCTACAGAGCAAGGTTTAGAATAAATTTTGTTCCAAATTAATTATACCTGAGTCATTGTCTAGGATATTCCTCAACATTGTGATACTACTGTTTCCATCATTTTCAAGTAATATAGACAAAGAAACCCAAATATAAACTTTTAACAGTCTATCAGAGACATATTCTGGTGTTTGGTTTCCCATAATTCCAATTATTATATAACTCTTTCAGAGTTGCTTTATTCATTCTGTAGTAGTCTTTCATTGCCAGCCATCACTAACCTTTCATATCTTAGGTTGATAGCTTTTTATTTTAGTATATTATTTTTTATTTAAAACCATCAACTGCATCGTGTTCACCAAATATCAATGTAGTTCTTTCCACATAAAATTCTGTCTATTAAAGTATTAAATTTGCTGTCACACTTTTCTTTTAAGCATTCTGTGCTATGTTCTGTTCAGTGTCAGTGTCTTTAGTTCTGATTTTTCAATTTTGTCCCTCTCCTTTTCCTTGACTCGTTAGTCTGATCCAACCTCTTCTACCTCATCTGATGATTATCAATATGTTATGGAAGCTAAACTACAAGAAATGATCTCCATACGTAGGAAGGTAGTCCTACTGGACTTTACTTTCTATTGCTAAATAGAATCCATCTAAGTTTTTCTTTTCATTTATAAAAATTATGTTACTTTTATTTATTGATAATCAACCATCTGTGCAGTTCAGTGCTTCAGGAGCTTAAGATTGGACAATGGCAGGTTTGTGTTCAAACCATGCACAGTCTGCATGTTACATTTGGCTGATTTCATTGCTCATAAATAACTCCAATGTTTTGCTGATGCTTGGATGTAACAGGCCTTTGTAGCTGACACATTTCAAGCGATGCTGTTCAGCTGCCTGTTTGAAGAAAGTTTATTTTTTAAAAACTATGTTTGCAGTTGGTAGTAGCTTGCTTTACATTTTATTTCAATTTATTTAGAGGAAAAGTGTTAACCAAATCTTACATTTCAGGTGCATTCTTCATATTTCTTAACAGGCTGAAGAGAGACATGGAAATATTGAAGAACGTATGAGACATCTAGAGGGCCAACTTGAAGAAAAAAATCAAGAACTTCAAAGAGTATGTATATTAAGAACTATTACCCCCCAATCATCGGTTTATGAATTCATATTCTGCATATAAGAAGAAAGCCTTTAATTGAGTATGGGTTGTATTTAAAACCTACAGATATGACCTGTAGACTTTGAAGAAAAAGTTTACACCACTTTAACCAAAACAGATCTAAAATTAAATTCAATTTAAAACTAGCAATGCTATAAAAATAATCTCAAACAATTTTTGAATGGATTTTTATGTCATTTTTTAAAATGTAAGGCTAGGCAAAGAGAGAAAATGAATGAGGAGCATAACAAGAGATTATCGGATACTGTTGATAGACTTCTGACTGAATCCAATGAACGCCTACAACTACACTTAAAGGAAAGAATGGCTGCTCTAGAAGAAAAGGTAAAATGATAGAAGGGTAAAATCACATGAATATTTTGCAATGCTCTTATGATCATGTTTGTTTTATATACAGCTGCAATTATTGTAATAGTCAGATGATCCATTTACTTAGTTTTTAAAAATGCCTGATATATTCTTAGAAAGAAATGCATATTTTTTATTTTAAAAAGTATAAGATCAAATTTGGGATGAATATAAAAATTGCATGATATATAAATATTTTATATTGGCATGTTCATATGAGGCAAATGTAGTAAAATATGCTGTGCTTTTGTGATGAAAATATTTTATTTATCCTCTACCTGGTATGCAAAATAAAAAAGTGATGAGACACAAGTCAATACTTTTTGGTGGGGGGAGGTGATTTGAAATATTCATGTGTCAAGTGACTGATATCTACACACCAGTCTGAAAGTCAAAATGTAAGTGAGTTTATATAATCATAAGAACTAGTATCAATCCCAGTGGAAGGTTTAGGAACCCAGTATTTTTAGCTGCATTATTTCAGAAATAGTGCTTCTCTACAGTCTGCAATGTGATTTACAGTTACATATGTCTCATTGATAGTTGGCAGCTACCAGACCAGCAAGAGTTATGAGAGCTGGTTACCAATTCCAGAGCATAAATTAAGGTAGGGTATAAAACCCAGATGATCATATCATTTTGGAAATTTAGATTGAATGCCAATCACTATTTTAGCTAGACATTTTCCATCAGTGCATAAAATAAACCAAAATAGGGAAAATGTTTTGACGAAAAGTTAAAGTAGTTTGATTAATTTACCCATTCGAAAGTTATAAGACATGATTTCCTCTCATACAACTTCAAATACATGGCCACTGTGGAATTACTACACTCTTAGTTTAATTTTACTCTATAAATATGAAAAGAATACATTATTTTAAATAATGCCTTATAGTACTTGTGTGTTTTGTAGAAAAAGAAATAATTTTTAACAACAAAAATAATTTTAAGTATCGATGATGCCAACATATTTCCACAAGACTTTGTGACATGTAATATTAGGTTTATGAGTAGCTAGAATTTGTTATTTCTCTAAAAATTTAAGTATCATTATAATTTGTTAATTCCACATTGCAGTAGATGTCCAGAAAGTGAAATTTTTAAGAATATGATTTCCTGATTTCTTCTTTCTTCAGATAATGGAAGTGAGTTCTTCTGAATTCTTTATAACACCTCTAAGATTTAGCTTGTTGCTCACTTCTTCTTATTTGAAGAATAACCAATAGTTTCCAATTTAAAATGTGGTCTGAGAAAAGGCAAACAGAAATAGCTTAAAAAACAACATTTATTTCATTTGTTCATTCAAGTGTTACAAAATAATATTTCCCATTTAAATGACATATTTTTTTAAATGTGAAGGTCTCATGTCTGAAAATTTCACCAAAGTGTGATTTCCATGAAATACCTGTACTAAGGAACAAATCTAAGAGGATTCTTGAGTGATAGAATATTAATCAATATATGTTTAAGTATTTTATGTTTAATTTATTAATTATTTCTGCTATTTTCTTTTTTTAGAATGTTTTAATTCAAGAATCAGAAACTTTCAGAAAGAATCTTGAAGAATCTTTACATGATAAGGTATAATGGAAACTTACGTTTTTGGCCCGTTTTTCTATCTTTATTTTCTACTCCACTGATGAATGTTTTGTTGTAAAATAAATTTGAAAAAATAATTTTAGTATGCTATCTTTGTAAAACAATTTTAACATTTTTATTATACCTGTAGAAGAGTGTACATAGAGAGGGAGAGCTTGATGAATCTTTGCAACCCAAATTCACCAAAAATTTGCATTCCAGAAACTCCCCCCAGATTAGTCTATACTCATACTCTTCCATTAAAGGATAATCACTATCTTGACTTATAACATAAAAAAAATGGTTTTATCTTGCTTTATGCCTTATAAAAATAGAATTAAAATATATGCACTAATTTATGCCTAGTTTTAGATAGTCTTTCAGCAGAAATATATTAAATACTATTATATATAAGAATTATGCTAAGTTATATATGTCTGAACATAATCCTAGTTCCAAAGTAGCTAAAAAGTTCTAATTGAGGAGAGAGAACACAGCCTTTACAAACCAGTGGAGATGCAGAGTATCAGATGCCAAGTGCCAAATTAGTGAAGTAGACAGTAAGAGCTACAGGTAGGAAAGACCATAATACAATGCTGCTGTGAAGAAGACTTCAGGAAGGAGGGACATGACTTAAGATTTAAGGGAAAGTAGGACTCTGATGCAAGGCTTTCAAACATAGTGCATGTGGCATGATCACAGGTGCTTGGTGGGGGGAGGGGATGGGTAATGAGTGTGACATTTTAAATAACAGGCACAACTATTTGTCTGAAATCAATTATTACTGTTGTAGGGTATGTGGTAGAAGAGGAAACTAAGGGCAGATTGTGAAATTTTAATGGTAGTTGCTAATATGTATTTTTCTTATTACCCTGTAAAGTTATTGTTAGCAATTTTATCTTATTTTGTTAAAGAAGATAGGATTGCTAACTTAAGAAGTGATCTATAATTGTGTGTTGAGAAAAGATAGAAGAAATGGAGAGAGAGAAGGAAGGGAAACGGGGAATGAAGAAAAGAAGGGAGGGGGAAGAAGGAAGGGAGGGAAGGGAGGAGGGAGGGAGAGAGGGAGGGAGGGAGGGAAGGAAGGAAAGAAGGAAGGGAGGGAGGGAGGAAGGGATAGTATGGGATATAGAAGGTATTGGAAAAGATGAAGAATAGATGAAAAAGAACAATTATACATTTAACCCTACTGGATGCTGCATATTATGATGCAATTAAAAATAACTATTTAATTCTATAGTTAAGTTGTCCACAATCTCCTGAAAGATAGGTCTTTAGAATAATGTTATGTTGGACCTAGAAGATAGTATCTGATTCTTTCTGAGGTAGTTCACAATGACAACACAGAGGAGATTACATTTTTAGGAGCCTCTTAAAGACATATATGATCTTAATAAAGGTAAAAGATTCTAGGTAGAGGATGAATCCTCTGCGACAGCACAAAGAAAATCAAGATGGTTGATTTGATGAATCATCAGAAGTTTACTGTGACTGGTATGTATTTAAAGAAGTAGTTTTTGAGCAGATTGTGAATTTTGGACTAGATGTTGTTATGCGTGTGATGTTATCCAAAGCTCTGTGTGCTCTTGGCAATATCCCCAGAACCCACTCCCCCACCACCTACCGAAGTCTTGTAACTCCAACAATCTGCCTAAGCAACCAAGAGTACTAATCATATCATGCTTTGCATCCTTGCTTATGTCAGTCTCCACAGAGAGTAAATCCCAGGTCATATCTCATTTCTGAACTATCATCCCATTTAGATGGGCACATTCACTAATCTGACCACATCTTCTATAATTCCTCAAATTTCCACTGAACTAACTGTACTCACAGTCCATTATCAGCAAAACCCTCTGTAGGCTCAACCTCTTTCTCAGTGTTTCCCTTTCCATCTTTATCTCTAAAATTTAAAGTTTCTAGGTAGCTATCCTTTCTTCTCTCTGATTCACCTTTAGTGACCTCATCTGATCTCCTGTATTTAAACACCATCTGTAAATTGAGCACATTCAAATTTAGATTACCTACTGGGTCCTCTTCCCTGAGAGAGTTTTTATATTCTAGTGCCAACTCAATATCTCCATTTGGACACCTATGTACCTCAAATGTAACATGCCAATCTATTCTCACCCCACTCCCACACATCGAACACCACCACAACCTAACCTAACACACCAGCAGTCTTCTCAGTCAATCTTAATTACAATTTCTTTCTTTCAGTTACTCAGGCTAAAAAAGTTGGACTCAGTCTTGACCCCTATGTTTATTTCATATCCCTCATCTAGTCCAATATCAAATCCTCTTAGTTCTACTCTCACAGTGTAGCCAAAATATAGCCAGTCTTACCTTAACACCAATCTTGTCCAAGCTGTTACTCTCCTGCCTAAAAATTTCCTCTCTTTTCTACCTCCCAATTTAACTTGACAATCTATTTCACAGCCATTAGAGTGATCATGCCACTTCTTTGCTAGAAAATCTGGGAAACATAGCAAGACCCCATCTTTACAAAAGTAAAAAATAAAAACAAATTACCCAGGTTTTTACACACCTGTAGTAAAAAAATTACAGGTTTGTGCACACCTGTAGTCCTCCTAACTACTTGGAAGGCTGAGGCTAGAGGATTACTTGAGCCTGGGAGTTCAAGGCTGCAATGAGCTGTGATCACAAAACTGCACTCCAGTTTAGGTGACAAAATGAGAACCTGTCTTTAAGTGAATAAATGAAAGAATTTTTTTAAACTCTCTAATTGTTGCCCATCTCATGCAGAGTAAAAGCCAGAGAGTTTGAAGTGGTTTACAACCTCTTTTAGGACTACCCTTCCTGAGTTCTGCAATCATACTTTTAAAAAGTATCCTCTACTTGTCTATTTAACCTCTCCAATCCAGCCACACTGGACTCCCTACCCTCTACTCCATTTCTACTAAGAGGCATATGCACATGCTGTTGCTTTTATCTGCCATGCCTTTTCCTAAGAGTCTCATTTTTTAATTTATTTCTCCTTTATTTAGGTCATTGCTCAAATATCATTTTACTGAAAAGCCCTTCCATTACTCCCATTTTCTCCTTCCTAACAACATTGTATATTCCTATATTCCTGCTTGTTTATTGTTCATCTTTTCTACTAAATTCTAAATTGCAAGAGGGCAAGACATTTTTTCAGCTCACTACTGTATCTCAGGTGCCTGACACACAAGAGGTACTCACTGCACTTTTGTGAAAATAATGAACAAAGATATTTACAAATCAATAAGAAACTATTGAACATTTTAAAGCAACGTGTTAGTTTATTGTATATGTGTTTTAAAATTACATGTCTGGCAGAGAAATGTGTAGGAAAGAGACTGAAGCTGGTAAAAATCATTCAGGAAAAAGATAAAAAGGGCTTAGAGTAGGATGGTAGTGAGGTAGTGAGAATAAAAAGAACAGAGAAGAGAAACATTGCAAAGGCCACATTGACAAAAAAAAAAAAAAAGTGTGGTAAGAAAAGAAGTTTGAGTAAAGTAAAATATCAAGCACTAGCCACTGGGGAGGGGAAAAACAATGGTAGAAAAAATCTAGAATGATACATTTAGACCTGTATAACGATATAAAAGTTATAATCATTAAAACCAAATTGAATGCGTACATGAGCAGTTAAATAAAGCTCTAAGACAACCCCTATGTTCATAAATTTACAGACCAGAACCTATAATGTCAATTTGAAAAAATTATCATTAACTACAAGTAATTGTGCCAATATCAAGCTAATCAGTTGTTAACTTTATTTTTTAAGGTACACTCCAGCCTCAGTGACAGAGTGAGGCCCTGTCTTAAAATACGTACATACATACATACATACATACATACATACATACATGTTTTTAAAAAACTCCTCCAATTGTTGCCTATCTCATGCAAAGTAAAAGCCAGAGCGTTTACTTTCCTTTTTCTTTCAATCCAGTCGTCTTTTTCCTTCACCCGTATGTCCTTTAACCCTTGTAGAATATTGGAAATTCTTCATTTACTGTATAAAGAAGACATTTTCTTTATTTTCAAAAATAGATATGATTTCTACTCTGCATTTTTAAGTGATGTCTACATAGCTGGTCATAATTTTAATATTCCCTTGAATTTTCAAATATTCAGGATTAGTGAATGCCAGGGATTGTAGATAATTTTTTATTGATTTCTGCTATCCACATTTTTTATTACAAGGGGAAAATTTTGGCATGCTTTATTATTATGTGTAATGACCTTTAATAAAAATCTATCCTCAGCTTTTCCTTTTTAAAAAAACCATTAAGACTGGTTTATCATAATTGGTTGCTGATATTACTGGCATCGGAGTAACACTGTTTTGATTTTTTAGGAAAGATTAGCAGAAGAAATTGAAAAGCTGAGATCTGAACTTGACCAACTGAAAATGAGAACTGGCTCTTTAATTGAACCCACAATATCAAGGTAACATTAAACTAAAAGCTTATCTCTAGTTCACTGAAAGTCAACATGAATTCCCTTATGGTTTCATATGTCCTCAACTAAAATAAATCGGTACTTCTTATTGCTCACTAGTCATTACCATGATTTTGATTCTTCACTGATTTACAGTTTTTACTTCAAAAATAACTTTTTAATTTAGAAATTATTTCTGTAATCAATAAAAAATTAAATTATTACCTTTTGTATTCTACATTTCATTATATAGGTAGAAATATATTCAAAGATTCTTAAATGAAGAAATTGAACTGTGTACAGGGAGATTGCATCTCATTGCAAGAAGAGGCGTCAGCCCTTTTCTCTATATGTGTTCAATACAGAAATTGAATTCAACATAAAATTTTCTATATGTGTTCAGTGTAAAAACAGGCAGAAATATGTTCAATGCTTATTGTGACTAAACAAATATTATTGATTACGGTCACTTAGCAGTTACCTATTTCGGTAAAGTAATTGCAAAAAAAAGAGGAAAAGAGAAATGGATCAGGTAAAAAAAAAGAAAAAAGAAAAAAAAACTTCAAATAAATTTAGCCATACTCATCTACTTTGATTCACTATCTCATCTTAAGAAAAACAAGCAATGGATGTCAACTTACTTGATAGATGATAGATAGATAGATAGATAGATACATACATACATACATACATACATATGTTAATAATTCATAAATAATTTCCTTTTGTGTTTGAGACGTTTTATTTAAAATTGTTTAGAAATCCTAGAAGGACTCACTCATTTAAACATGTATTTACTAGGCAACACAGAATAATAGCAGCTGTTTGAAACTTTCCACTACCAAAGGCTTTTGGGAAAAGTCCATCTTTCTTGGTGTTATGTTCATCTTTAGAAAGTTAACTCCACCAGAGGAGGGGTTTGTATTTGTTTTGATAACTACCATAATCTCAACACCTAAAAAACTATTTTGCATATAGTATGCTCTCAAGATATATTATAGAATGAATAAATGAATATCTGGTAAAGCATTATTCAGATGCTCAAATAAAAATTCAAATAAAAAATCCTAAAGTGTCTTAAACTCTTTTCAATAAGGAAAACCAATATTTAATATTTTAAGTATTTCCATACTCAATTTAATATGAGAAACAGTTTGGCAGGCATAAAAACACCCAAGAAACTTTTATATATGTAAGTCACTAATTGAGAAAATCATTCTTATTTTTCAAATTTTTAAGATTCTAATTTTTATATATGAACTGAAATTATTATTTTAATGGTATGTGTTCACATGGTTATGATTATTATAACGAGGATGGTGGAGAAGGAGAAGAACTGATATAATATCAAGGGAGTCAATGCATAGAATAAGCATTATTGAATCAATAGATTAAATATATATGAATAAGAATAAATGATCAGTTCCTTATTTGTTTGACCTTAGGTCTCAAAATACAGAGTTTCAAAGTGTTGTCTAAAAGTCTATCACTGCACTGAGTCATTACGGGCAGCCTAACAATGTGACATTTATCTACAATGAAGGATGATTGAACCTATATAGAACAATTATTCTTTGATCAACAGGTTGTAGTGGAAGGAACCCTAGACCAAGAATAAGACAATCCACATTCCCAGGACTCAGACAGATAATTACAAGCCGCTTGATTGTGGAAAACCCATTTTCCTTAATAACATTCTAAATAAAAACATATTTGTACCTAAATAGGCATAAATGATATTTTTCTGATTATCTCACAGGCTTGCTTTGCAGATAAAATAAGACAAGTAAGCATTATAGTAAATCATATTATATGTATAGTATGTATAGTAAATCATATTACAAGTATAAAGTATTATAGAAACAATTAAGGTAAGCTAGCTAAACAGAACTTATAATAAGTTACAGGATAACTGAATGTTTATTAAACAATTATTTATAGAACATCCATGCTTCTGAGGACAAATAATTTTGTAAAAACAATAATGGAAATAGGAGGTGCGTGAGAACTCAGTCTACTAAGTTTTGATCAAATAGGTGGGGAGATGAGGAGAGATAAGCTAGGTGAGTGAATATCAGTGACCACTCTTGTCTCTTAATATCTCATCTGAGAAGAAAGTAAAATAAGTTCCAGAGTGACTAGAAAGGGCTTGATTTGGCTCAACTCTGAAAAAAGGTAGAATCTGGGTAATTGGAAAGGACAACAGAGGACACTCCAGAAAGCAGAGCGATGGGTAATGGGTTTTCTCTAAAAAAATTCTTACCTGACTTATTTATGCTAGTTCTTTAATGAGATTAAAGAACAGGAGATTCAGGAGGAGAAACTACAGGGTTCATTGCTTAAATGAACTGATACCTATTTTGTGACTTAGCCCTTCCAAAAGCCTTTCAAAATATTGAACACCTAGAATGATTTAGAAATTGAACTAGCATGATAATGTTGCCTCTGTTTTCTCCTGTTAGAGAACTATCTTAGAGAACTGGAAAAAAGAGGAGAGAGATGAGTGTGAGGACTGTTATAATAAGAATACTAGGAGCTAGAATAGTAGATGGCAATAGTATTTTTAAACTGAGACCTTAAGACTGTTAACCACATGTGTTGAGACTGTTTTCAGGAGAAAACTAACAATCAAAAACAAACAAACAAACAAAGCATGTTCAAAGAAATGAAAAGAAAGTGTGAGTTACTGGAACTGAAAGAAAGCCAATATAGCTGTATGAAAAGTTATGCAGAGAGTACGTTAAAATGAAACTGGAAAGTGGCAAAGGTCCAAATTACAGAGGTCCTTTAAGGACATTGAATAATTTTAAGCAGGAAATTGGCATGATTATATCTGTGTTTTGCTTTTTTTTTTTTTTTTTTAAAATAAATTATCTGGAGTTGTGAGATAAATCAACAAGAAAACAATGCTCATAGAATGATGAGTTCTAACGTTAGAAACTCCACTGTGATACCTAAAGGGACATTAAGGTAAGCAGCCACAGGAAAAAGGAACCCAGACTGTTCAGAGCAAGATAGTTTAAGCCTGTATTATAATCATTTCATGTATTTATCATCTTGCCAGATATTTATGAAGTGCTTATTATATGCTAGGAACACCTTCCTGGACATAGGAAGGTAACTAAAATCTGATCTTTGTTCTTCATGAAACTTAGAACCTCCGTCCAACAGATAAAGACAGAGAGTTGTGTCCTTTATGAATATGGTCTTGTTGTTTTTTTTTTTTTTTAATGTAACTTATCCATGATAAAACCTGTTTACTTCATTAAGTCTCAAGTATATTGCTACAAAAACAATAGCTGTCACTTATTTGAGGGATAACTTTTCAGTTCTTTTGTTTCAATGTCCCACTGGTAAAACAAGAACTTTCTTAAGTTAGTGTCTTCCGTTGTTGCAAACACCCAGACCTCACCTCCCCTTTTTAATGTTACAAAATATTTGGAAGTGCTTGTCTTTGTTCATAAGGATAACTTAAAAAGAGAGTATAGTCAATCAGCAGGAGCCTCAAATTCAACAGAACTAACAGCTTTAAGTGTATTTCCTACTGATGATGGATTTGTTATTTCATTTTATAGGGCAGCATGATGTTGCTGTTATTATCATCATCATTATTGTAACAATAAAATGAATTTGCTATAAATCCACATATAAGTAATATGCCTGGACTTTGATTATAGGGTACTTTATTGCCATGTTTATTGAAAACTAGTGTAATGATACTTTCCAACTAAAAGATTAACCTTTGGCTCATTTCCTACTCTTTCATCTTTAAACAGATTTAAGAATGAAATGTGCTTATGAAAAGATTTTTCTTCATCCTTTTGAAACAATGTCTTATCAAAAACTTTTAAAAAATACTTTTGGTAGTATATCCTATTTTCTTTTATAAAACTAAGACCATAAGCTTTGGGTCTATCTAAATTTAAGCATTTTGTTGATTCTCTAAATTGAAAAATAGAATGTGAAAAATAGACAATGTGTAAATAAATTTCTCCAAACATTTTAAAATTGGAAAAGTTCTGGGACCCCCAAATTATAGACATTTTTGGCTAGATTTATCAGAAATACTTAAACACAGTCAGCAATAGCATATATTGTGATATACACAAAAGATCTCAAATTAAATTGCCAGAATTTAACCTAATGGATTTTGATTATCAGTCTTATTATGATTCATTTTACTACTGCATTTGAAAATGATACTAAACAGAAAGGTTATAAGTACTGTATATTCTAAAAGAAGAAAATGCACTTGACTTTCGGGAATGGACCTATGACTGCAGCTTCTGATGTAAGTCTCTAAAGAGGCCTCAGAGTCATGACAATTTATCAGTTTTCTTTCTTGAGGTTTATTTCCTTGAGGACTTCTGCTTTATTGCTAGTGAAACAGCAGATAGTAATTTCCTGGTAAGTTTAATTTTTGAGATTGGATTATTTTATATTTTTCCTTTTTCCCAGAACTCATCTAGACACCTCAGCTGAGTTGCGGTATTCAGTGGGATCTCTAGTGGACAGCCAGTCTGATTACAGAACAACTAAAGTAATAAGAAGACCAAGGAGAGGCCGCATGGGTGTGCGAAGAGATGAGCCAAAGGTTAATCTTTTAACTTCAACTCTTCTCTAGTTTTATTTAAACAGATCACTTCATTTTGGATAGAATTTTAACACTGAGATAATTAGAAAATGCTAGCATTTTTATTAATTTGAAACACAGAGTGTGACTTTTAAAATATATATATATATATATATAAGTAACATAAAGCTCCAACTATGGGCCCAAAATTGAATAAGCATTTCCCATGTATTTATTCATATAACATTATGAAGTTGGTACTACTTGTATACTAACTTCAGACATAAAAATACTGAGGCTCAGAAAAGTTAAATGTTAAATATTGCACTGGTAGCAAAATGATGGGAGTCAAAACGTGAGCCTATATTTGTGTGGTTTCCAATACTATTAGTAGTGTAATATTAACTATTATACTACCTTGCCAAACATGTAGTCTTTTGATTTTCTTGGGCACTTGAGCAATGGCATTCATGTTGTTCATTCAAATTAATTTAATTAAAATTAGTATTTTTAAAACACTTTGAAGAAAATGTACATAGACTCTCCCTGTGTTCACAAAGAACTATTAATGATAAGGCACGGTGCTAGCCTTCTATTCAGTCAATAACTTAATTTAAAATTTGCAAGCTATGTTTGTTGAGTAATGTAGTTGTATTTTATAGAGAAGTAAAATAGTCCTTTGGTGCCTAAGTACAGTTCATTCTTTCAACTACTTTTATGTATGCCAAATACTGTATAATCCATTTGTCCTTATATTTTTTTGGGGGGGGCCACATAAGATATACTTTTTAAAAATTTTTTAATTTTTTTTTAATATACTTTATGTTCTAGGGTACATGTGCACAACATGCAGGTTTGTTACATATGTATACATGTGCCATGTTGGTGTGCTGCACCCATTAACTCATCATTTACATTAGGTATATCTCCTAATGCTATCCTTCCCCACTCCCCCCACCCCACAACAGGCCCCAGTCAGTGATGTTCCCCTTCCTGTGTCCAAGTGTTCTCATTGTTCAGTTCCCACCTATGAGTGAGAACATGTGGTGTTTGGTTTTCTGTTCTTGTGATAGTTTGCTGAGAATGATGGTTTCCAGCTGCATCCATGTCCCTACAAAGGACATGAACTCATCCTTTTTTATGGCTGCATAGTATTCCATGGTGTATATGTGCCACATTTTCTTAATCCAGTCTGTCATTGATGGACATTTGGGTTGGTTCCAAGTCTTTACTATTGTGAATAGTGCCACAATAAACATATGTATGTATATGTCTTGATAGCAGCATGATTTATAATCCTTTGGTTATATACACAGTAATAGGATGGCTGGGTCAAATGGTATTTCTAGTTCTAGATCCCTGAGGAATCACCACACTGTCTTCCACAATGGTTGAACTATTTACACTCCCACCAACAGTATAAAAGTGTTCCTATTTCTCCACATCCTCTCCAGCACCTGTTGTTTCCTGACTTTTTAATAATCATCATTCTAACTGGTATGAGATGGTATCTCATTGTGGTTTTGATTTGCATTTCTCTGAGGGCCAGTGATGACGAGCATTTTTTCATGTGCCTGTTGGCTGTACGCATGTCTTCTTTTCAGAAGTGTCTGTTCATATCCTTTGCCCACTTTCTGATGGGGTTGTTTGTTTTTTTCTTGTAAATTTGTTTGAGTTATTCGTAGGTTCTGGATATTAGCCCTTTGTCAGATGAGTAGACTGCAAAAATTTTCTCCCATTCTGTAGGTTGCCTGTTCACTCTGATGGTGGTTTCTTTTGCTGTGCAGAAGCTCTTTAGTTTAATTAGATCCCATTTGTCAATTTTGGCTTTTGTTGCCATTACTTTTGGTGTTTTAGACATGAAGTCCTTGCCCATGCCTATGTCCTGAATGCTATTGCCTAGATTTTCTTCTAGGGTTTTTATGGTTTTAGGTCTAACATTTAAGTCTCAATCCATCTTGAATTAATTTTTGTATAAGGTGTAAGGAAGGTACTGGTACCAAAACAGAGATGTAGACCAATGGAACAGAACAGAACGGAGCCCTCAGAATAATACCACACATCTACAACCATCTGATCTTTGACAAACCTGACAAAAACAAGAAATGGGGAAAGAAATTGCTATTTAATAAATGGTGCTGGGAAAACTAGCTAGCCATAAGTAGAAAGCTGAAACTGGATCCATTTGTCCATATTTGTACACAGGCCTTTGATGCCTTTTGGGTTTAAACTGGCACCAGTATGTCATGTATTAATTAATCCATCAAAGTAGGCATTCAATATCTATTGAATACATGAATAAATAAATGAGCAAATGAAAGCTACATTAAGTTAATCTCAATTATTTTCTCATTATTATGTGACAAATTAATAAGTGCTACTTGATATCAACAAAAGTTGTAACACAAATACTAATTCTGATTCTCAATTCTTAACTCAATGCTCAGGGAAGTATCATGTGGCCTTCCATAGAAATCATTTATATGATCACAAAATAAAAACCAATTTTTTAAAAAGCAGAATAAAAGAGATCTAGGACCACCCTCCTCATTCATTCAGATAACAGCTTGAAAAACACTGGTCAATTGCTTACTTCAAATGGAAGGCTTCTTATAATCCATTTAAAAAGCATAACCATGTAAATTAGCATGCCTTGGGCTTAAATTTACAGATATACCTTGTTGTACTGTGATGTGCTTTATTATATTTCACAAGCATTATGTTTGTTAGTTTGTCTGTTTTTTACAAATTGAAGGTTCCTGACAACTCTGCCTCACGCAAGTCTATGGGTGCTATTTTTTCAATGCATATGCTCACTTGGTATCTCTGTCTCACATTTTGGCAATTTTCACAATATTTCTTTTTTTTTTTTTTTTCTTTGAGGCAGAATATTATTCTGTCACCCAGGCTCTTCTGGGTGCAGTGGCACTATCATGGCTCACTGCAGCCTTGAATTCCTGGGTGTAAGCAATCCTCCCAGCTCAGTCTCCCAAGTAGCTGGGACCACAAGCAGGTACCACTATGCCCAGCTAATTTTTATATTTTTTTGTAGTGATGGGGTTTCACCATCTTGCCCAGGTTGGTCTCAAACTCCTGTGCTCAAGTGATCCTCCCACCTCGGCCTCCCAAAGTGCTGGGATTATAAGCGTGAGCCACATCAGTTCTTGCAGTGTTTCAAACGTTTATTATTATTATAATATCTGTTACGGTGATCTGTGAGCAGTGATATTTGATGTTACTATTGTAATAATTTGAGCATGCCACAAACCATGCCAATATAAGACAGTGAACTTAATCTATAAATGTTGTGTGTACTTCTGCTCCAACAGCCATTTCCCATTGCTTTCCCTTTCTTTGGGCCTTTGTATTATCCAAAACACAACAATATTGAAAGTAGGTCAATTAATAACCCTACAGTAGCCTTAAGTGTTCCAGTGAAAGGAAGAGTTGCACATCTCTAAGTCAAAACTAGAAACAATTAAACTTAGTGAGGAAGACATGTCAAAAGCTGAGTTAGGCCAAAAGCTAGGCTTCTGGCATGAAACAACCAAGTTGTGACTACAAAGGAAAAGTTCTTCAAGGAAAATACAAGTGTTACTCCAGTGAACACACAAATAAGAAGACAAAACAGCCTTACCGCTGATATGGAGAAAGTTTTAGTGTTCTACATAAATGTGATTATTTAGTGATAAACAATCAAAGCATGCACAACATTCCCTTAAACCAAAGCATAATCCAGGGCAAGACCCTAACCCTCTTCAATTACATAAAGACTGAGAGGTGAGGAAGCTGCAGAAGAAAACTTTGAAGCTAGCAGAAGGTAGGTCAGTTCATAAAGTTTAAGGAAGGAAGTCATCTTCACAACATAAAAGTGCAAGGTGAAGCAGCAAGTGCTGATGGAGAAGCTGTTACAAGTTATTCAGAAGATCTAGCTTAGATAATTGATGAGGATGACTACACTAAACAATGGGTTTTCAATGTAGATGAAATCACCTTCCATTGGAAGAAGATGCCAACTAGGACTTTCATAGCTGCAGAAGAAAAGTAAATGCCTGGCTTCAAAGCTTCAGAGGACGGGATGAATGAATGCAGCTGGTGACTTTTAAGTTGAAGCCAATGCTCATTCACCATATTGAAAATCCTAGGGCCCTCAAGAATTATGCTAAATCTACTCTACCTGTGCTCCATGAGAGGAACAACAAAGCCTAGATGACAGCGCATTTGTTTACAGCATGGTTCACTGAATATTTTAAACACACATTTGAGACTTACTGCTCAGAAAAAAAAAAATATATATATATATATTCCTTTCAAAATATTACTACTTATTAACAATGCACCTGGCCACCAAGACCTCTGACAGAGGTACTCAAAGAGATTAATGTTGTTTTCATGCCTGCTAACACAACATGCATTCTGTAGCCCATAGATGAAGGAGTAATTTTGCCTTTCAAGTATTATAACTTAAGAAATACATTTCGGCCGGGCGCGGTGGCTCACGCCTGTAATCCCAGCACTTTGGGAGGCCAAGGTGGGCGGATCACGAGGTCAGGAGATCGAGACCATCCTGGCTAACACAGTGAAACCCCGTCTCTACTAAAAAAAAAAAAAAATACAAAAAATTAGCCAGGCGTGGTGGCGGGCGCCTGTAGTCCCAGCTACTCGGGAGGCTGAGGCAGGAGAATGGCGTGAACCCGGGAGGCGGAGCTTGCAGTGAGCCAAAATTGTGCCACTGCACTCCAGCCTGGGCAACAGAGCGAGACTCCATCTCAAAAAAAAAAAAAAAAAAAAAGAAATACATTTCACAGGTCTATAGCTGCCATAGGTAGTGACTCCTCTGATGGATTGGGGCAAAGCCAATTGAAAACATTCTGGAAATGATTCATCATTCTAGATGCCATTACGAGCATTTATGACTCATGGGAGAAGGTCAAAACATCAACCTTGACCAGGCGCGATGGCTCACACCTGTAATCGCAGCACTTTGAGAGGCCGAGGCGGGTGGCTCACCTGAGGTCGGGAGTTAGAGACCAGCCTGGCCAACATGGTGAAATCTCATCTCTACTAAAAGTACAAAAATGAGCTAGGTGCACCTCTGCAATCCCTGCTACTCTGGAGGCTGAGGCACAAGAATAGCTTGAACTCAGGAGGCAGAGGTTGCAGTGAGCCAAGATCAAGCCCTCCAGCATGTGCAAGAGCAAGACTCCCTCTCAAAAAAAAAAAAAAAAACAACCTTAATAAGAGTTAAGAAAACATTGATTCTAACCCTCATGGATGACTTTGAAGGGCTCAAGACTTCTGTGGAGGAAGTAACTGCAGATGTGGTGAAAATAACAAGAGAACTAAAATTAGAAGTAGAGCCTGAAAATGCAACTAAATTGCTGCAATCTCATGATAAAACTTGAACAGATGAGGATTTACTTTTCATGAATGAACAGAAAATGGTTTCCTGATGTGGAATCTACTCCTAGTGAAGATAGAATCTACTCCTGGTGAACATTGTTAAAATGACAACAAAGGATACAAAATATTATATTACATAATTGATAAGGCAGTTGCAGGGTGCGAGAGGATTAACTCCAATTTTGAAAGAAGTTCTACTGTGGGTTAAATGCTATCAAACTGCATTCCATGCTACAGAGAAATCGTTAATGAAAGGAAGAGTCAATCAATGTGGCAAACTTCATTGTTGTCTTATTTTTAAAAATTGTCACAGCCACCCAACCTTCAGCAACCACTACCCTTATCAATCAGCAGCCATCAGCATCAAGGCAATACCCTTCACCAGCAAAAACTTTAAGGCTCAGATGATCATTAGCATTTTTTAGCTATAAAGTATTTTTAATGAAGGTATGTTCATTTTTAGACATAGTACTATTATACACTTAATAGACTTCAGTAGAGAATTAGCATAACTTTTATGTTCATTGGGAAATCAATAAATTTGTATGACTCTATTGTGATACTCACTTTATCAGGGTGGGCTGGAACTAACCCTGAAATATCTGTGGAGTATACCTGTACATAATTTTGCAATATTTTAAATAATATTTTGTTAGAATCGATGTAAATAAATGTTAGGAAGAGAATTCTTGTATAATTTCTTATGTGATAATATTTGTGGTCTGAGCTTATAATAAGAAAATATAGGAAGACTAATTATTTTAAGTCTTAAATGCTTGAGTACAAATAAATAAAGATTGCTATATTTGGAAATAAGGAACAGTATTGCAAATACATGCTTTAAAGTAATTGTTACCTTGGAATATGATCAAACTATAAATCATACAGAAGTTTATCATCTTTATTTCTATTAAAATCTTGATATTTATGCTGACAATTAATCCCTCACATTACTTACGATGTCAAGGAACTATTTTATGGAAGCAAATAAATTAAAATGTTAATAATTGGTTCAGTTTTTGCAAGGTCAGTTGTAAAAGCATGCCTGTTGTTGTTGTTGCTGTCTTTGAGATTAGTGCTTTGAACGTGAGCAATGTGATAAATATTCTGCATTTTTCATTTACCATTCAGGTGAAATCTCTTGGGGATCATGAGTGGAATAGAACTCAACAGATTGGAGTACTAAGCAGCCACCCTTTTGAAAGTGACACTGAAATGTCTGATATTGATGATGATGACAGAGAAACAATTTTTAGCTCAATGGATCTTCTCTCTCCAAGTGGTCATTCCGATGCCCAGACTCTAGCCATGATGCTTCAGGAGCAACTAGATGCCATCAACAAAGAAATCAGGTAACTTCAATTAGTACTGATGGTTTCAAGAAATTAGAAGACATGGATACTGTGCTAAAAATATAAATACTAGATCAGAAGCATTAGCATTGACTGGGAGCTTAATAGATCTGCAGAATCTCTGATCTCACCCCATATGCACTGAATCAGAATGTGTATTTTCAGAAGATTCCCCGGATATCTGTGTATCTCCTTTATAATATTAGGACAGCCTTTGTAAGGAACATACATGAAACATATAAGACTAATGACATTAGTGATAATATAAAAGAATAAGTTAAAGGCAAAACTTTCTCCAGTGAATTTTAAAGCACTTTTTAAATTAAAATTTACTACTTAAAGGGAAAGTATTTGTGGTAATCACATACATTCTTCAGATACATTACATACTGCAGTAAAGGTACCAAATAGTATGCAAGTTAATGTGCATTCAGATCCCTTAAAATATTTAAACATTGGAGTGAAATTAATTTATCATTCTTTTTGTCAATTTTATGCCATTTATATCAGGGACAGCCTGTTTCTTGGAAGTTTATTAATATTAACAGTTTTAGAGGCTGGAAAGTCCAAGATGAAGGTTTCGGCAGGGTTCAGTTTTTGGTTAAGGCTCTCTTCCTGGCTCCAGGGAAAGGGAAAGTAAGGCAGGCTATGGGAGGCAGAAAGAGAGGGGGAGAGAGAGAGAGAACATTATTATATTAATTGTATGGAATTAAGCCTCTCTCTCTCTCTTTCTGCCCCCCACTGCCCACCCACCTTTCCATTTCCCTGGAGCCAGGAAGAGAGAGCCTTTACCAAAAATGGAACCCTGCTGGAACCTTGATCTTGAACTTTTCAGAACAGCAAATTAATTTGACTCCAATGTTTAAATACTTTTAAGGAATATGAGAACCTTTATCAAGGAAAGATTTATGGAAGACCTCATGTAATCTCAATTACCTCCCCAAGATCCTATTTTCCAATACAGTCATTTTGCCCTTTAGAGCTTCAACCTGTGAATTGAAGGTGGGAGATAAAATTCAGTTCATAGCAAAGCAAATGCTGAAAGCAGGATAGAGTCCTCTTCTCTGACAGGAACACTTGAGAAAAAAAAAAATTAATGCCTTTAAATGGGATAAACTAAACATATTACTACTTTTCTTAATAATAAAAATTACATTTTTGTAGTAATATATTGCATGAAAATTCAGAAATTTTTTTATTTAAATGGGGTTTTGCACTGCTATCTAGGCTAGTGTGCCATAACTCAGACCTGGCTCTCTCTAGCCCACAACCTCCCAGTCTCAAGCAATTCTTCTGCCTTACCCTTCCAAGTAGCTGGGATTATAGGCATGTGCCACCATGCCTGTCTAATTTTTTTAATTTTTTGTAGAGACAGGGTCTCCCTCTGTTGCCCAGGGTGGTCTTGAACTCCTGGGCTCTAATGATCCTCCTGCCTTGGACTCCCAAAGTGCTGGAGTTACAAGCATGAGCTACCACACCCAGCCTCAGACTGTTAATCTTAGTGCTTGTGGCTGGTTAATTGTATTCACTGATGCCTAAAACTTGTGTTTGAATTGGGCTGCTACCATATTTTAAACTGAGACACAATTTTTATAGAGTTTTTTTATGATTAATATTCTTACATCAATGAAAATACATTTTCACATATTAACGCTGAAGTTTATAACAAATCAGGCTGATCAATAAAAACCCCCTAGCATTTTGGGGATGTATGTGTGAAAATTTTCTAAGGAAATGGGGACCAAATTCATTTGCATTCTTTAAATATAAAAGGCTTAATATATCTGTGAGACATAATTTAATATTATGGCCTAACAAGTATCTTTATTATATTTTCATTTCAAAGGCAATAAAACATGTGGTGATATGAATTATTTCATACTAGATATGAAAAAAATGTACTGTTGCTATATAGTACCCTAATAATAGATGGTTTTCATTACAATTGAAATTGGACAAATTAACATTTCAAATATTGAGAGATGTTGGCACTCTGATAATTTCATTTTAATTTAATATATGGTTTCTTGAACTCCAGTGACATCAGCTTTTTCTGTCAGTTCCTTGACTAACCCCAGTGATGAACCCAATTATATCAGGTATATTTGTGTTCTTTTGATTATCAACAAACCATTCTTAACTTGTTTTTTCAACTGGTGAACATGTTTTAAGTCTTTTGAACAATGCCTTTCTTTTTTGTTTCTGGCCTCTAGCTAAATCAATTGGCTTCTTTCTACTATTATTCAAACTACCTATCATCACCCTACTGCACTTAAGAATAGTTTTTTACCTGTATGACAATAACCATTACTATCTGGTTTCTTTGTAGTATGCTAGCTCTCCATGTAATCTAATCTCACTGCAGCCAGAGAAGACTTTTAAAAACAGAAATGTGCTTATGTAATTCCCCTCTTTCAAACCATTCAGTTGCTCTTAGGATACAAACCAAACTTTTTAATATGGTCTACAATACCTCACCTGTCTCACCACTCTCTAACCATTTACCTTACCTACTTTCCAGTTCCTTGATGTTCCATGATCTTTCTTTGGTTGTGTCATCCCTTTTTTCTGGAACATTCCTCTCATTCCGCACCCTTCTACCCTAATATTTCACTCATGTTACCCTTACTCACCATGGACAGCTCCTCCATTACTTCTTCAAGGAAGGTAGTACTGTCCATCAGTTCTTTACCTTCACTAGATTGCAACTTTTATAGGAGCAAGAAATGTATCTGACTTTGCTCATCTTTATTTGTAGGTCTTCGCTTGATATTTAGAAAGTTCTCCATAAATATCTGATTACTCTAAATAGAACATAAATATTAACTGAATAACTGAGTAACACTTTCTGATGCTGTTCAGCTAATGGTTGAATTTACCAAATTAAGTTTGAAACCAAGTCTATATTCATATGATATTTATTTTCACCAAAGAGATCAACACACCCTCAATAACAATCTATTTCTCTTCAGTGACTCTTATCTTTGTAACGTTAGGGCAGTAATTTCTAGTAACAATCTTGGCCAGTAGGTTAATATAGTTGTTTTTTGTAAGAAATTTGAAAAATTCGTGAAATGTGATTATATCACATTTAAAAGAAATAGTCATCTTGATTTAGACCAGAGTAGTCTGCTAATAACAACCAGAATTTTTCTCTGGTTAAGATTTTTCTTCTTTCATAAACTAATTTAGCCATTTAAAATAATGCATGTTTTCTGGCTTCACAACTCACTGATTCAAATTACTTCAAACCCATTTGCCACAGCACTGTTCATTCATCTGTTATTTTATAGTTAGCTACTATTTTCTGTTAGATTAAACTACTTCTTACCCAACTTGTTCCTCTAGGTTTGGATCTCTTGTACAATTTATACAACATCTAAAATTAATAACCAAAATTTCTGTGTACAGCAGAACCACGTTACATCTCACCAGAAAAAAAAAAAATTCTATGAATCATTTATCTACTAAGTATTTTAAAAGTACAAAATGCCTTCTTTTTTTTTTTTCATTTTTATTTTTTGAGGGGGAAGGTAGTATTTTCTTTCCAATACATTTTAAGCTATGTTACTATGTACTATGGTACTTGATTAAACCTTTTTTGGGGATTCTGACCTTGGGGTGAAGTTAAAAAATGCATTCATGAAAGTAAACTTTGAGAGTAACAGAATTCATGTTCTTTATCTAAGTGAAAAATTATAATTAAGTGTAAATGTGCCTCATAATGTTTTAACCAAAGTGAATCTTTGTGAAACATATTTGATTAAATTTAAGTCCATAATTTGTAAGATTTTTAAACAGCCTGTTAAAAATCACAAAGATCACTTATTCCAATGACAGGTAAGTAGACTACCAAAGTACTTTCTGCCTTGCCAGGGAACACATACTACTTAAAAACTGAAGGATTTACAGATTAGTTAGTGAAGACACCAGCAGTGAGTTAATCATCAAAAAGCTGGTGAACATATAAAAACAGGTAAGTAAATGTAGCTCAACTTCCCACAGTAAACGTAGACCAGACAAGTATTTCCTATTGAATAGATTTAGCAAATAAATTACATTCTCTATTCTAAATATGTAAAAAGAAAATTTTGAAGTGATCATAAACTTGAAAGTAAGGGTTCTATATAATAGAGGATCACAATAAACCATTGTAATTAAGAACAAAATAGCTCAGGAGAATTTTACGACCCACTTATCAAACTATACTGGTACACAGTTTCATTACAGCAACATACAAAATGTATATAGATTTGATCCAGGATTCAAACAGAATTTTTATGCAACCTAGCTAAAGCTCTTTCTTATTTGTGCCTTTGTAATAAATAATTTATAAATATTCTTGAAGATACTTCCCGATTTAAAGAAAAAGGACTAGTGCTTTGCTGTCTCAAAAGCATTTACATTAATTCGTTTTTTGTTGTTGTTGTTGTTTTGGTTTTGTTTTTTGAGACAGAGTCTCGCACAGGCTGGAGTGCAGTGGCACTGTCTCAGCTCAGTGCAAACTCCACCTCCTGGGAGATTCTCCTGCCTCAGCCTCCCGAGTAGCTGGGATTACAAGCATGCACCACCACGCCTGGCTAATTTTTATGTTTTTAGTAGAGGTGGGGTTTCACCATAATGACCAGGCTGGTCTCGAACTCCTGACCTCGTGAACTGCCCATCTCAGCCTCCCAAAGTGCTGGGATTACAGGCATGAACCACCACGCCTGGCCTCGTTTTGTTTGCAAGTTATTTTTTCATTATTTGTGTATTCATCAGCTATCTGTATAACTAAATTTTCACATTATTACCTTTTCTGATACTTCTTTAAAGGAGGCTTGGCTAAGTATTTATTAATTTTAAGAAAAGTCTCAGGGTTTTATTCGGCTAATTATGAATGACGGCTTATTGAGGATACTATCCTTTAAACTTTTTCATTACGTAGGAGGTAAAAGTCAATGACTTTGTATCTTATGAGGCACATTTACACGTAATTATAGTCTTTCACTTTTTCTAAGCTATTGCTAGTGCTTTGCCATCTCAAGGCTGAGTTTCTAGTCTCTTTTATTGGTTCCTGAGGTCAAATGTAAGATTAGAATTAATGGTAGAGATAAACTAGGTTCAAGATTTTTAAAGAGTTTTAGCAGGTGGTAGTATACAAAGAGGGTAAAACTGAAAGTTGTCGTGAAAATGTATCATTTGAAAACAATTTTTAAAATTGAAGCCAGGAAGTCCCTGGAATTTATTGAAAGTTAAACTGTTTAGAGAAAAAGATGAAAAAGTTAGATTTGATGTAAAATGTTCAAGAATAGTTTCTATTGATTTATTATGTGAATTCCAATGATCTTTACAGCAGCATATAATGGATCCATATTAAATTATATATAGATCAAAATTAAACTGTATCTTTCAGGCTAATTCAGGAAGAAAAAGAATCTACAGAGTTGCGTGCTGAAGAAATTGAGAATAGAGTGGCTAGTGTGAGCCTCGAAGGCCTGAATTTGGCGAGGGTCCACCCAGGTACCTCCATCACTGCCTCTGTTACAGCTTCATCGCTGGCCAGTTCATCTCCCCCCAGTGGACACTCAACGCCAAAGCTCACCCCTCGGAGCCCTGCCAGGGAAATGGATCGGATGGGAGTCATGACACTGGTATGGTGTTGTGTCCAGAGAACCTTTGCCTCCTGTTAAGATTAATGATGCTTTAGCTGAAACTTAACTGGGTGTTTGTTCTAGTCGAAGTACTTTCTGTATATTTTATTGTTTATTTCTTTTCTTATTCACAAAATCCCTATGTGATCTGTACATTTATGAATCCCATTATGAGATGAAGAAATGGTAACCCACACAGGTGCTGTAACTTTCTTAGGGTCAAATAGTAAGTCGATGATAGAGCAGAGATCTAAATAGCACATTATAAATTTCAGTGAATGGCTTTGCATAGTGGCTCACAACTATAATCCTAGCGCTTTTGGAGGCTGAGGCAGGAGGATTACCTAGAGGCAAGGATTTCAAGACTAGCCTAAGAAACACAGCAAGACCCCATCTCAAAACAAAACAAAAAAGAAAAAGAAAAAAAGAAATTAGCTGGGTGTGGTGGTGGTGGTCTGTACCTGTAGTCCCTGCTACTTAGGATACTGATGAGGCAGCAGGATCCCTTGAGCCTAGGAATTTGAGACTGAAGTGAGTTATCATGGCAACACTGCACTCCAGCCTGGGCAACAGAGTGAGATTCCTTCTTGAAAAAAGATAAAATAAAATATTTTTTTAAATTGAATGACTTAAGCCCCTAAGTACTTTTTTATTGATGGCATACTGAGGAAATCACTTTGGACACCGTGTGTGTGTGTTTTTAACATAATAAGTAATAAAACTTAGTATTATAATTGCTTCAATACACCAAGATAGAGTTTTATCTTTTCAATATATAATATAAATTTTTTGCATTATTTATATTGTTAAGAGCCATAAAAAGCAATAGCAACTAATTTCTAATTTTGTCTTAGACTTTATGTTCACATTTTCACATATATACTTTAATTCCTTATTTCATTTATCCTTATATTTGGGATTAGAAGATGGAAACCTAAATTAGGAAGCACCCTGGATGCAACTGAGAAAAACATCAGATTGCCCATTCTAAAAATATATATATAATATATGTATTTCATTATAAAATATATTTATTTACATATATATAAAATAAAACCTCTGGAAAATACGATTGTGATGACTACTGAATACCATGATACATTTAATTCTCATGGAAAAACTGGAGGTAGTAGGGCATTATCTCAACAGAGAGTGGAGGTTTTGGGAGTATAAATGGAGTGCCCATATTCAAAACAGCTAATAAATGGAGCTGGATTTTTCCTCAAATTTCCCAAATTTAAAAGCATGTACTATCCTGTCTTTTGTTTCTGTCATTACTTGGAAATATAGTATGTTGAAATGACACCAATGATGAAGATTAAAAGATTATGAACTGTTTATGGAGGTAAAGTTGTGATTTTGTAATGAATGTACGTTGGCATACTTACAATTATGAGACTTCCAAGCCATAAAACTTATGTAAAAGAAAAATTGAGAATATTTTTTAAAAAGAAAATAGTTACCTCTTTAAGCTGCTGAGTCCACTATTTGCTGCTCATTTCCAAAACTTTCTGCTAAAAATGGTTTTTAAATAGAATAGACAATGGCCAACCAGAACAATGCCCAGCTAATCAGAACTGATTCCACTCGGATACAGCACAAACTTCTAGCCAATGTACTAGGATATACTAACCAAACATGCTGAACTACATTGTGATCTGCTTATTTTAGAAATTTAGGAACCATTCATCTCATTTTATTAGTTAAAAGTGACATTGTCTCTTGCTTAGTTTCTGCATGTATAAGTTACACTACATAGTATTAATGAGCAACTTAGTACCAAAGCTACAGTAAGAATCCTGGACCACAGAATAAAATTTAGTCAGCATTCAAGGCAGGAATACTTAGATTATTTTTGTACTGCTTTTATTTCTGACGTTTTTACAACACAGTTTTACCCTTTTATGGTAGCATCATAACTCTTGATAGTGCTATTATTTTCATGGTAATAAAATAACATATTATATATAATAATATATTTATAATCTTAGATGTGATTGTGTGTGTATGAGAGAGAGAGAATGATGCCAGTGCTTTCATGAATTTTCTTAAACAGTTAGTCACAAATAAATAAATAAATCCATAGAACATGAATTTTATCACACTGTAATTAGAGTAGTGAAAAAATATTTAGGGCATTCTTGGAAGAGTAAGAAATATTTAAAGTGTTTAATATCTAAGTCAGAGAAGCGAGAAATGAAATCCAGGAAGTCCTTAACACCTAATATAATTATGTTACCAATTGTATTATTTTTATAGTAAAACATGGGTAAATTTTTTTAACCTGAAGAAAATATTGTAGGAAAAAAATTTGTTGGATATAATTCATGGTTAATATTCAGAAGAAGATTAGAATTTTTAGAGAGAAAATTAGAGATTGAAAAGATATTGCATTATTTGTATTATTTAATAATTTACAAACATTGTGGTATTTTTCTCCTGATAATAAAGCATACCCGTATTTACTTTTACCTCACAACAAATCCATAAGCAAAAAACAACATGTTAGTGATATCTAGTTAGACTATTGAGTGGGGTAAAATCAACACATTTCTCAACAACAAAAATGCAAAACATAATGGAATAGTTTCACAGAAATTGTTTTGCTTACCTAAGAAATTTGAACAAAGGCATTAAGTGAATAAGGTTCATTTGAAATCATAAAACACAACTATTTTTAAAAGTTTTAAAAAAGAGCATTGACAAGAAAGCAGCAGTCCCAGAGCTTTTGGCATTTGTGGTATGGAGAAGGATTTTAGGATGCGAGAAATTCTGAGATCCCTCAGGAACAGTGTATCTGCCCAAAGGAGGCCCAAAGCTTTGCATAGATGGGACAAAAACAAGAGTTTATAAACTCCTTGTATATGCATTGGATCTTCATTCCCAATAATATTTTATTGGAAAGATGAAGTCTCATTTATTTCTAGTTAGCTCAGTCTTCTAGCTAGACTCAGTCGCTCTAGCTCATTCCACAATTTCTCTTTCCCAGGGTCCATGCCTTGTATCCAATGCCTGTACACATGGCCCCATTATGGAAACAAGCCTCTGACTTCTGTTACCTGAGAAGTTCCGTCTCTAAATTTAACTACTACGAGGAGTGCTTCTATAGTAATTAAAAGATATTTATTTAGAAAATAATAGAATGAAGAAAAAAATGATAGTCAAGTTGTAGATACTATTTAAAATTGTAACATAGTTAAATGAATGTTAATTCTTAATTAATTCTGTTTTATGTTGTTTTTATTACTGCCAATCACAGCCAAGTGATCTAAGGAAACATCGGAGAAAGGTACTGTAAATGACTTTTACATCATTACAGATTGAATATTGTTTTATTCTATGAAAGCTTTAAAATAATATTCCCTGTAGTCGAATGTCAATAAAACATTAAAAAGTTGAGAGTATTTAAATTGTATTGAATTGTTTAAATTTGATTATAATAGAAAACACTTCAAAGATAAAATTGTTTATGCTTTCTGGAGAAATAATTAGATTATAAGAAACATAATATCCTGTTTTTCATTGAATATTTGAACCAAGGATGGTATAATTTGATATTTTAATATAAATATTTATATTTATTAATATATACTACAAATATTTTAATATTTAGCATATATAATTAATGCTCATTGTTTTCAAATATTTTATTATTATTGTGTTGATAGGATGAGGACAACAGATCAGGAGACAGCTGTCAAAGAAAGATAGTTTGTTACTCACAGTTCCCAAAAGGAGAGAGTACTCTGTGCCTCAGGACAGCACCAGGGTCAGTCAGGAGGCAGAGGGCGCAGGGCAGAAGGCTTTCTGAGGTCTCTTAAGGAAAGGCAAGAGAAGGCAGGGTAAGCAGGTTTAGGATGGGTAGCTTGATTAATTTCGTCTGGCCCCAAGGTGTAGGAACTCTCTCTAGTTGTCTCAGTCTGGCCCGCAGGTAATTAGGGCAAAGGAATATTGCCTCTTGGAGGGTAAGAGCCAGATGGAGAAGATGATTTAGAGTGTGGGCTGAGTTCTTTGGTTTGCATATGAAAGGTGTACTTATAGGCGAGTGATGTGCTATTTCCAGGAATTAACTATCCCTAGGGATAGAGGAGCATCCTCTCCAGATGCCAGAGCATCAAGAATATGCGAAATAAATATATATATATATATGGTCGAAACAGTGCTTTTCTGTTTGGAATGAAATCAAGAGAATAAATATGGGATATGGGAAACAAAATGAACTGAAGTACTGATTCACAAAATGACATCTTATTAGACAATTCAGTAGAGCTTGCACTCATGGGACATCAGATGAGAAAGATTTCAAAGATTCAAACTACTATGCAGTGCAAAAATCTATTCTTCAGCATCTTCAAGATGTGGTAGTCAGCCTACACCCAAACATTGAAATACTCCTGGAACCAGACAACTTTTATTTCCTTTAAAAAATGATAATAAGGGAATCTATATTATACTTACATGGCTTGAATAGATGGAATTAGCATTTTCTTTTCCTGGGCTATTACCTGTCTTCCTATAGCCTCTTCTCCTTAACAATACCAGTTCATTCTTATTTACCAAGTTTACCAAGGATAACGTCTTTATTTTCTTTGACCTCCATCACCTTAAAAGGACTATAAAAGTTTAATGGGTGTTAGAAATAGGAAGGTAGGATGGAAGGTTCTATACGAAAATGTAGTCTCAAATAATTCAGGAATTAACAACGTAATTTGTGAGAAAAGTCACGGAAAGAAGGACCACAAACTAAAAAACCTTGCGTATCCGGGGAAGAAGTTAAATACATGCTGGTATTTACACTTCAAAAGAACACCTTAAGAAAAGTGTTATATCACTTCAATTTTATTGATGAGGAAATTTAATATTAAAGCAGAAAAGTAATCAGCCTATTTATTCAACATTTAAGAGAAATCAGAATTCAAATCCCTCTCTGAGTCCAAAACTCTAAGTGACATTCAGAGGAAAGTTTTGTATATGATGTTTTTAAAAGCTGTTATTGGGAATAAGTATAGTTTGGCTGGCAGGGAGGACAAAGAAGGTATTTTATAAGGTGTATCAGAAGCAAAATTCTGACAGCAAAAATGGCCATGCTTAGCAGAAACAATCAGAGAAGAGTCGTGGTGGGATCACAGAACTGTGAAAACACTAACTTGTATTAGAAATAGTTCAGAAACACGCTTAAGAGTTTAGCTGGGGTGTGGGTTTGAAAAGGTTTTCCATAACATCAGAATCAATCCGAAAGCAGTTATTGAAAAAGATTCTCCTGATTGCAATATGCTAGTTGAATAGAACAAAGGAATTATATAAAAATGCCTACCTACCTAAGCTGTTAAAAGGAACCTAGGATTGGGTGACAAAAGTCCTGATAATTTCATGAAGTTCCTCGAAGGTACGAGGTCTTTATCATAGATAAACACATTTATGCATGATAGCTTTACATAAAAACAAACAAAATATTTCCCCAAAACTTTAAAATTTTTTGTTTAGCCATACTTAGAACTTTTTTCATCAGAACTCTCAAAACCATAAGTCTTTAGCGGTGTTTTCTACAATCCTGATCTCTCCATATTGTGTTACACAATGATGCCATGAAAAATATGCAGCATTGTTGTAAAAACTACTTCTCTACAATTAACTTGACATTGGAAACAAATTTTAAGTTACAGCTCTATATCTTGATCTCTGACAAGACGGATAGTATCCTGAGTTGTTCTGAATTCTGTACTAAATTGTTATTTAAGGAAATCACTCCCATCTCATCTTCTTTTGGTTTTCTGTATGTCTTTGCCAGTAAAATGAAACAATTTGGAAATATCATCATCTTACCTTTTATTATTCTCACTTTAAAAAGAGTTTTTTTCTTACAAACCACAACTCATATTTTAAACACCCTTTAATAAATTTCATTAGGCTGACTGATGTAAAGCACTTTATCTGATAAAGTTATATTTTATCAACTTCTCATTTCAAAAATCCCTGCTTAAAAGATGTCTTTATTATAACCTGAGTATGTATAATCCTATATTTTAGTGAATTGTTCAAATGTGTGTTTAATACCTTTTTGTAAAGAGTTTATATTCTGATATTATAAAATATCATAGATCAATGTCAATAAACACTATAGATCAATAGTCAGCATCTAGTTGATTTATGGCAGGGTGTCTAATCTTTGGCTTCCCTGGGCTACATTCATTAGAAGAAGAATTGTCTTGAGTCACACATAAAATACTCTAACACTAATGATAGCTAACGAGCTTTAAAAAAAAAAAGGTCCATGCACAAATCATTTTGAGACAGTTTACGAATTTGTGTTGGGCTTCATTCAAAGCCATCTTGGGCTGTATGTGTCCAGCAGGCTGTGGGTTGGAAGAGCTTGATCTATGGCATTTATTAATGAAACATTTTTGTGTAGTGGGTCTATGTTTTTTTTAAAATTTTAATGTGTCCACTTGAAATATCTGTGAAAATCAAACTCTTTAATGGAAATTTATACATGTAAGACTTATATGCCCCAAGTTTTGTTGTTTTATTTTGTATTAAAATTACTCAGTAGCCTTGCTCTCATGATTCTCCATTTGTATCAATTTCAACTGAAATTTAGAAAGCGTTTATTTGAATGTATTGTTTTTGCTTCTAGATTGCAGTTGTGGAAGAAGATGGTCGAGAGGACAAAGCAACAATTAAATGTGAAACTTCTCCTCCTCCTACCCCTAGAGCCATCAGAATGACTCACACTCTCCCTTCCTCCTACCACAATGATGCTCGAAGGTTAGACGCTGCAGGCACACTGCACATTGAATGCCCTCCTTTCAAAAATATTCCTCTTCCTTCACTGTTGTCAAATAGAATGCTTAACGATTTACACTGAGCCAGAATTCTCCAACTTCCTTTTCCCGGTATCACTTGTGAAATAACCACATTTCAATTTTGATATCGAATTTGTGTTTTTAAAATTAACTGTATCTTTGTGGTCTTATTAGTCAAAATAGATAAGAATAGCTCTTCTAATTTTTAGTGGATATTTTCTATTAAAATGAGATCAGGCTAGAGGAAGGACTTACTAGAAATAGTAACAAAAAACTAAGGAGACTCTAGGACAAGATGATAAATTTGGATTACAGTAAAAGCATAATTAAAGTCTGAAAAGTTTATGATTATGCCTTTTAGCAGACAGGTATGTGCACCCTGCAGGTACTGCTGCTGCCAGCAATAATAACTCCTCAGTCGGAAAGTTACTAGAAATGAAAAAAAGTCCTTGGCTAAAGTATTAAAGAAAAAAGATAAGTCTAGATGGAGAAATATGTCATTTGTCCTCCCAACTCTTTATACTGTCTTATCCATGTGCACAGAACATTACAAACAGATCTCTATAATCACTGATGATATGAATATACCGAAGCATGTAGTTTATATCTGAAATGTATCTTTTCCTATTGTCTCATCAGTTGCAGCATCTGTAGACACATAATTGATGTAACCAAATATAATGACTTAAGGATTAATACTTCAATAAAAGAACTCTCTTCTAGATAGTATGTTTTACAATAAAAGCTTTTAAAAGTAGGGCTTTCTGTGTTGGCAGTCATTTCTTTTTTCTGATTATTTTTTATTGTTAATGTGGAAAAATCAGTTACTTCAGCTTCAAAATATTACTTCTTTCACTCTCCAAAAACAGAGTATATTTCAGCATATAAAAAGTTATTGCTTTGAAAGTTAGGGAATGTGAGTTCAAATTAATTGGCATGAATAAGTAAAAGTAAATAATTTATCATGGTATTATAAAATTAACAACTGTAGAAACTAATAGCAATGTCTATTGATCCCTTCCTATTAATACAATGTCAACTATATTGACCAGAAATTGAAACTTAACCAACTGCTTGAAGAGCATTTCAGTTTAACATGTTTTTAAAATAATATTTGAGAACTCTAATTAAGAAAACATATACATTGATCACGAGGGTACATGGTTTGTTGCTTCCAGGTTGCAGCCAGATGATTTTAAATTAACTGAATTTAGAGGAAAATCAAGTAAAACTGTAGATTGGAAGAGCAGCTTCAACTTCACAATTAGTTATATTTCAGTTCCTTGCTGTAGGTCATTGTGTTTAAGATTAGAAAAACAAACTCTGAGAAATAAATAGATAATGGATCAAGTGCTCTATAATAGAAGGCCATTTATCAGGCAGTTAATAAATTAGCCTATATTCACTGATTAGTTTGAGATGATATAAGAAAAAGTAAGAAAAAAAGCCATTTGGAGCAAAAATACATTTCTCTTGTGGAAATTTGGAGGTTCAGGGCCCAACGGTGAAAAAAAAACTGCACTTAATATCTTAAAAGGAAACATGGGAAGATAGGGGGGAAAATGACATTACAAGTCTACTTGTTCCTCTTTTGGTGCATTTATAAAGGAAACAACTTTTGTGTACCTTGTGGATGTTGCACGAAAATGAGCAGTATTTTCCTCTTTTGTGTTTTGCAGTAGTTTATCTGTCTCTCTTGAGCCAGAAAGCCTTGGGCTTGGTAGTGCCAACAGCAGCCAAGATTCTCTTCACAAAGCCCCCAAGAAGAAAGGAATCAAGTCTTCAATAGGACGTTTGTTTGGTAAAAAAGAAAAAGCTCGACTTGGGCAGCTCCGTAAGTATGCATTTGCTAAGACTTTCTACTGCCACTCATTTTAGTCACGTCAGAGTGTTCGTCTTTCATTTCATTTCATTGCTCTTCTTTTCACTTCTTCTCTTTTCTACCTGACAAAATTTATATTTTGATCAGTTTTGAATGTTCAATTTAGCTGAATAATGCTTAATAAAACTTACAGGGAAAGAGTATTGTGTGAACTTTTCAGTTCTTTTGTTTCTCTGTTTATAACAATAGCTAAAATGTATTTAATGCTAACTCTTGTGACAGGCACAGCTACCTACAAAGTAAATGTTATTGCTATAAACGTTATTTTATTAATGAGTAAATAATGTCTTCATAAATCCCATAACTGTGATATTCATCGTGGTGCCAGTGTTTCAAAATCAGCTTAAAACCATTGAGTATACTGCCACTTAGCGCATGAATGTGTGTAAAAGCTTAGCGATGTAGATTTAAAGGTTTTTCTGTTGAAAAAATTGGTAAGCCTCCAAAAAATTAAAAAGAATATTTTAAAAGTTAGAATAAAGCTTTATATGTGTTACATAAAATGTGAAGAACATGATTTTTTTTTGTTTCCTTAAAACTATCATACCTTCCCCCTAATAAACTCTATGGTGTATAGTTGAGGGACGGGTGTGGGGAAAATAATAGGGCAATAGATATTGTGTTATAATTAGTTATTATCAGTAACTGATAGAATAAAAATATAGATCAGTACATTTGAAATGGTCCTACTTAAATATATATTTAGAAATAAGCAGATATACATACATGATACATACTTACATAATTGTCTGAAGAATATGTGATATTTCTGAAATGATTATATATATACTTTGCTTTTTGGGAGTTGTCTTTCTATGTATTAATTTTTAGAGTTATATTATTGGGAAAGAATTAAACTCCTACCTACAGTGGTAAGTACTGAATGGAATGACCCAAATTTCTTAGTACATCGTTTGGTTTCTCAAATAGAGGAATAATTATTTGCAAGGAATACCCAAATCCAAGACTTAGTTTTCTGCCCTACCACCAAAAGAATTTCTGATTACGATATTCATGTTTGCAGACTTATGACTACAGTTTCCAAAAATGCCTTTCCTGGCTTCCACAGTGTGAAACCTACACAAAGCATCAGAAGCTACAAGAAACTAACGTGCGGCCAATGTGTGATTATATGTTCCCCAACAAAGGAATTAAATCTTTTTGTATCCCTCTTTCTCAGTAGAGGAACTCTTTAGGCTATACATAATGTTATTGCATGAGGAAAAAAGAGAGACACAGAATATTTTGTATTTAAAATATACATGCCAGACATTGTTTTAAAATTTGTTTTATCTTATTTGATAACTCGTGGTTGTCTTACCAAATGATCTGTCATACCCAATATATTACAGTATCACTATAGTGTGGGTGGTTAATTATTTTTGAGTATTAATTTTGCTAACATCATAATCATATTTATTTATATTTCAACATATATTCATCTTAGTTACCATAATTCACACTTTACTTTTAAAATGTATTTAATTGCCCTTATCACTTAAAATTTTCTGTTGTTATTTCATATTTAACTTTGATGAGAAATTCCTAAATCATTACAAATTTCACTAACAATATTCTGTCAAAATCAAGGTATGCAAGATGTAAGTTTAAGTCTAGAAAAATATAGAACCTTAGAGAAACTTAGCCTTTATTACTCATTTTCAGTGACTGTGTGTTTTAGGTCAGAGCAGATAAGAATTAACTCAATTATGATTACATTCTTATCAACCCCACTAAAGTCAGAAACTAGCAATAGTTAATTCGGGTCACAGTTTATACCTGGGAAGGTTTCTGAGCTCTGAGTAATATTGCTTTATTTCATAGAACAGCAGAAGTAGAGTTTAAACAAAGCCAGAATCAGCAGCATGTTAAGGACTGCAATGTGGATGAGGAAGACAGAAGCAAAATGCTATACCTATGAAGCTAGGTAGAAGCTACATAAATGGTGAATCAAAGCTTCCAGAAAAAAGAAACAAAGTCTTTATTGAAAATAAGGCTGAAAAAATAAAAATAAAACAGGTATAAACAGGTTCCAGAAAACCATATTTGCACCAAAGGAAATGATACATGGGCCCCATTGATACTTTAGTTAAGGGCTATGAATTTTAGGTCTGCTTTGGTCCTAGAAGAGGTATCCAAGTTGTGATGGAAAGACCATACAAGTTTTTCAAACCCAGGGACTACACCCTAGTACTGCTTCTTCATGCATCTGAGGAACCTAGGGAAACATCTCGAATGATTATGATTTTAATGTCTTGATCTGAAAAATTCTAAAACACAGGAACATTGTCAATGTTCTTTCTTCTACCAGTGAAAACAGAACTATAAAATACAATAGTATGCCAGGGAAAATATTAAGGCAAAGAGATAGTGATGTCATAGTACCAAATTTGAAATTCTGAACCATGTGCTAAGATTTATAACTCCTAAAAGGTTTAACTCAAAAGAGCAGAGACACATGACTTAACTTGAAAGCAGCTATACTACATGCCTATAAAAGAAATATGGTGTGGAAAAGGAAAGCTGTGTAAATAAAACTATGAAAATTTTTCCTTGGTTCTATCAGAAATGATGAACAGCAAAGGAGATGTTTGTAGTCATTCACAAAGGAAAATATTTGGAGAGGATATCTTATTTGTTGTATATAATAATTTGAAATGCTAGGGTAATAACAAACTTCAGATAGGAAGGATCAGTCAATGTGATTGTATGGATAACCCCTACCCATGAAGAATCAAACACAATATGTACATTGTCTGTTCTTACTAATGTGTTACTAGCATAGACAATATCAATATGGAAACCCAAAACTCAAAGGAAGCAATTGTTGAAAAGCAACTGAATAAACCTAACAGAAACCAAGCAAAATTATTTTATTTTAAAAATCTCTTATGACATCCTTTTCAAATGGTTAGTTCACTCAAATTACAAAAGTAGGATAGAAAAAGCTGTGGTAGTAATAGGAGATTTCAAGTTTTTATATATCTTGTGAAAAATTCATTCTATTCTTACCAGTTCTTGTTCATATTATTATTGCTTATAATGCAGGAGTAAGATTTCCAAACTGAAATGTCTATCAGTGTATGGGCAGAAGATAAAAAGGAGTAGTGTAGACTTAAATGAATCAGTGAGCATTTATTCTTCCATGTCAAGCATTCAAATTCCATTTGTAAGTACTATTCAGGAAAAATAAAGCGTAATATAAGCCAAGTTTTCCTGAAGGTCACAGTTGAATTTAGGGAAGCTCACTTAACAGAGGAAGCATTCCTTCTAGCTTACTTGGGGATCTGGTTTTAGAGTCATTCTATCTATTTCTTTGTATTTTTGTTCATTGACATTTTTTTGTTTTTAATACAGAATCTCACTCTGTCACCCAGGATGGAGTGCAGTGGCACAATCTCGGCTCACTGAAACCTCCGCCTCCTGGTTCAAGTGATACTCCTGCCTCAGTCTCCCTAGTAGCAGGGATTACAGGCACCCGCCACCATGCCTGGTTAATTTTTTAATTTTTAATAGAGATGGGGTTTCGCCATGTTGGCCAGGCTGATCTCTACTCCTGACCTCAGGTGATCTGCCCACCTTGGTCTCCCAAAGTGCTGGGATTACAGGCATGAGCCACCACACCTGACCATTCATTATCTTTCTATGTCACAAATCCCAGGATGAAAAATTACATAAACAGGTTTGGTTTGTATCCCCATGACAACAGGACTAATATGTACTTCTGCTGACTTCCTGGAATATAGATTCAGAATGTAATAGCATCCTGCTAAGACTTGACAGCACAATGACCATGATCTCTCCACACCCCTCAATTTATACATCCATATGCAATGCATCTCTGATATTTCCATTATTGTTCCAATACGCTCATGTCTAATCTATACTTTTAAAAGTTATCACTTGATCTTGCCATTATCTCCAAATATTGACTTGTCTTTACCCTGCATTTAATGTACAAGACTGAGTTGTTCACAACTACTTTTTTCCTTCCTCATCTGTCAATCACTTTACGACCTACCACAGCATCAATTCCAAACACACTACACTGAAACTCTAGAAATAGGTGCAGTCTTAACTAACATGGAAAAGTAGTCAGGACACCAAAGGCTATGTACTGTCAAAGCAATTCCAGAGGATGGTAACACACAATTATATTTATGATGATGTGGATTAAGGAAGAAGTAATGTATCTGAAATGGGAGTTTTCTGCCTAAAACATATATGAAAAGATTTGTTACAAAAGTTGGAAAGTGAGAATATGACAAATAATAGATAGAAGCAAGTGGCATCGAAATGTAAAAGCAGTGGCAGGAATGCCGTCCATCAAAATAAACAGACAGTTGGAAAAATCACCAAGACCAAAGTGAGAATTATAAAATCTGTATTGTTATTTTTGTTTAGTAATATATAAATTTAGAGAAAATGAATGAAATGAAGGTTTATCTGATGTGAGTAGAATATACAAATAAGTGGAATCATTCAAAAACTCATTTTTGTTTCTATCTGTTTACTTGAAGAGAAAAAGTTCAACAGAATATAGGCATTACCAAGAGGGCATTTATGCCCCACAGTTGAGGAGATTTTTTTTTGGTGGAGGGAGAGAAGACATAGATGATCCAGAATAATTTATTTATTCCTATTTTCAGTGAATAGACATATATTGAACCATTCTTAAATGCAGAGTACCAATTATGGACTTTAGGAAAATGACTAAGACATGGCTGTTGGCATGGAGGAATTTTCACTTTAGCAAAGATAATACATAAACAGATACAAACTTTATACTTAAAACAAAAACTTCACTATGTTTTTGGCCCAGAAATGTTTTATCTGCTACATTGTCTGTCCTGTCAGAACTAGGAACAGTGGCCGTGAACCCAAAGATCTGTGATCATGCATAAATAATTGCAGTCCTGACTAGCTTGACTTTTAATTTTATCTGAAGGCAT